AAATGATCTGTCAACTGATACTGCAATTAGAAGAAGCATTAGCAAGGCAAAGTTACTTGTTGACACTAAAAATTCAGCTCAACACTCATCTGCGGTGACTTTAACTTTCCAAATGTGAAATGGTTTAATTATGGTACGATATGCAAAACTGGCCCTGAAAATAACCCATCTGTAAAATTTATTGATATGCTCAACGACAGTTCCCTCACTCAACTTGTTGACTTTCCCACATTCATAAAAGCAAATAGACATTGTAAAACCACTCTTGACTATGTGATATGTGACGATGTAACTCGAATATAAAATCTACAATCACTTGGAACAACTAAACAAGCTCATTTAGTAATTAAATGGAATTTTCTAGTTACCCAAAAACCTGGCTACATCTTTTCAAGCAAGAAATTCAATTACTACAAAGGTGACTACAAATCAATAAAAAAAGAGCTAGAAAAAATCAACTGGGCAAACTTGCTTGATAACTTAACCGCAAATGAAAACGATGATAAATTACTTAACTTATACTATGATCTATGTGAAAAATTCATTCCAAAAAAAAGAATAAATTTAACAACTAAAGGAGCGCCATAGGTGATAATTAACTTAAAAAAATCTCAACTTAAGACAACGCTGTGGAAACAAAAAGTAGCCTCAAAATGGAAAAAAACTGAACTTGTAAAGGAATACCCCAATGCAAGTAGAGATATAAGAAAAACATCAAAATAAAGCAAAAAAAACTACAAGTTCAATTTAGCAAACGACAAATCAAAACAAAAAAAATCCCAAAAAACACTTTTCATATATAAACAGCAAATTAAAAATAACTTTAATACAAGCCATCAAATCTGACAACGATAAACTAAAAAACAGTAAAAAGGACATAGCCGATATATTAAATCACCAATTTGAGTCCCTCTTTAGTAAAAGATATGATGTACAAATTAACACACTTGACCATAGAACAAATAAGAGGATAAACAAAATAAACATCACGGAAAACAAAGTAGAAAGTTTATTACTTCAAATTGATGGAAAATCACAAGGAGCAGATAACGTTCACCCATTCATTCTAAAAGCACTCGCCACCGAATTCGCCAAGCCACTATTGATCATATTTAATTTATCATTGCGTTTGGGAGAAATACCAACAGCATGGCCAGACGCAAACGTAATGCCAATATTTAAAAAAGGAAGCCCAACAGATCCTGGAAACTAAAGACCAATCAGCTTGACTTTGGTCCCATGCAAAATTATGGAGAAAATAGTAAGGAATGAACTTATTAACTACTTCACAAAAAAGAACCTTTTTTGTAGTGAACAACATGGTTTTGTCCCAAATAAATTATGTACAACAAACCTTTTAGAACATCACATCAACAAGATAAGTGATTAGTGCTACACTTGGCAAATGCAACTAAATCTTAGTAAATGGAAAGTGATGCACATTGGGCGAGCAAACAAATCAGCGACATATATTATGCTAGATCCACTATCAGGCGAAAAACCTCCAGCAAAGTTGCTACAGTGGCTTATCCTTGGATGGGTTACTTTGTGTGAGCTGATAAGCTCGCATTGCAACTTATTATAACTAACTAACTAACTAACTAACTATATGTATGTATATATATATATATATATATATATATATATATATATATATATATATATATATATATATATATATATATATATATAGTTATAATAAGTTGCAATGCGAGCTTCTCAGCTCACACAAAGTAACCCATCCAAGGATAAGCCACTGTAGCAACTTTGCTGGAGGTTTTCCAGCCAATTATATATATAGGTATATATGTATATATATTTATATTCTATAATTATTTAGAAATGTCACAAGGATAGATATTCAGTGAAACCTATATCAACAATTTTTTTTAGTATTTGACATTTTTTTCAACCAAATTAAAAACTTTTGGGTAACATTTTTTGATTGTACATGACTCAATTTGTGAATGTATGATTAATTTTGATGCCTCTATTGTGTTTTTTTTAGAAAAAAACACAATAGAGGCATCTATACTATTGTGTTTTTTTTTTAGAAAGAATTTTACTTATTGATATTTTTTTATAAATTCCAAGAGTAGAAACTTTTATATTATATTTTTGTATACTATGTGTACAAATACAAAGCAATTATGACACATGTAATGGAAGTACTGATTTATTCATAATATTTTTATTAGGGAAGAGTCAGGTTACCCTGGACACTTAAGGAAAATATAGATTGTGCACATGTGCTAACTGAAAAATAAGGGTCAAAAGACTTTTTTTAAAAGTTCAAGCATTCATCTATCGAATTAGAAACAAAAAAATAATTGCGTATCTTAATAATATACAAAACATTAAAGAAAAAATGTTAGAAAAAAGGCATGTTTCAAAATTGGAGGGTAGCCCCGGACATATAGTTTAACCATGATTTTACCTCTTTTTTACCAGTGTGACACAAATGTTATATATAATAATTTAGCATTGGACTGTTTTCGACTTATTTTAAAAAAAATCACCTTTAAAAATTGCCTGATATATAAGGAATGAGAATGAAAATGTCGCCATCTAAAAATATCAACATAAGCTTTTTTATAATGAAAATAAACACTTTAAAAAAACTTTTTTCAAATCTAATTCTTTTTTATTGGAATTAAATGAATTACTGTTATAGGTTTGTGTATTATATTAAATGTATTAATATTTATATAAAAAAAGTTGTTTATTATTAATATGTAAACGAATTGAGTTGTCTGGAGCCACTCTCCAAACATGTGTCCGATACCACCCGATCATACCTCATTCGCAAATACTAGTTTTAAAACCAGTGAACTAAACTTTTTAACAATTTTTTTTAAAATAACTATTGTAAACAAAAATGTATCTTTAATCATTAAAAAGTTATTAGTTTACATAAAAAATAGGTATATTAATATGTGAATCAAATATGATGATACATCGCTTCGGCATTTTATGATAGATATTTTGCATATGCCATATTTTCACTCAAATAATATTATTCTAGTATTAAAAGTCACATTTATTTTTTATACAAAAATTTTTTTAATGACGCCAAAGCATTAAAATTTTTTTGAATCAAACAAACTGGTTTTTAGCATTTATACTCAAATGTTGCAATTAATTATTATTTTAAATTTATATTTCAGTATTTGTTTTATTTTTTGTCTGATGGCTTTCATAATTTTTAATCAAATATTTTAGCTTTTAAACCTTTTAAATTTGTTTTATACAAACTTTAACGTAATAGATTATTAATGCTTATAGAAACCAGTATTGTTTAATTACACTATTAAATTTGAATTACATTACGTAACGTTTGCTTTCGCGCTAAAGTTTTTCGCTATTAAAAGTGTTTATAAAAGAAATGAAAAAAGTTTAAAGACATTAAAAAAATGCATTATACATTTTTTAAAATATTATACGTAATTACAATAAAAGTTTTATATTAAAAAATTAATATAAAAGTAATTATAGTGTTCTTTGATAAGTTAAAGAAAATGGGTTTATTGTAAGCAATCATTAATTTATGAATATAAAATGATTTACAAAGCATTTTGCATGGTATGGTATTTTTTAAAAAACGTAGTATATATATTTTTCCAATTTTATTTTTCGAGCTTATATTCTTTTCTTCAAGATCATAAGAATAAATATTTTTTGTGACAAAGGTTCGATCGCATTTTTTTAGGTTTTTATTGGACAAATTGAGCGGAAAATTCAATTGATTTCTTTAAAATACAATTATTCCGCCAAGTGATTGTAAGCAAATACGATTTTTATTTTATTGTTAGAAGAATAGCCATTAAAACAAAATTAAAAAATCAAAGATTTTAGTTTTATTATGAAATATAATATAAATTGTATTAAACTATAATTAAAAACTAAATTAAGTTAAAAAAAAAATTTTTTTTTCTTGAATTACGAGAAATTGTTTGTATAGATTGTTTACGCTTTTGTTTAATTCTGCATTTTAACTAGCATTTTAGCAAAGCATTAAAATCACAGCGCTCATACTTTAAATATAAAATGTTCTGTTTAGTAGTTAATTAATTAAAAAGTATTTCATATTTTTTTCTGAAAATGCTGTACAGTTGTTTTTTATTTTAAAAATAAATAGAAGTTTTTGAGAATGTCTAAAAAAAAATAAAAATTGCTAAAAGGCCTATACTTGGATTAAAAAGTCGTAAAAAGGCCCATACTTAAATAAAAAAGTGAAAAGCCAATGCAGGAATCCAGCATTGCCTCTGGGGCCACCACGCCCATGGAACCAAAATGATTAAAAAAAATAAATAAATAAAAACTGTAAATTACAAAAAGATAATCAAAGAACAAAAACAAAAGTAATGGTAACCTAAAAATTTTTTGTTTACTTGAAAAAACTAGATATTTCTTAAAAAATCAGTGATGAGAAAATTCTGAAGCACAGTTATGCTAGTATTTAAATAAATATAACATATGCTATATATAACATATATATACTAGTACTTAAATAAATATAACAAGTAAAAAAACAAAAAAACAACATAACCATAAGATTTAAAGTTTTTTCTACAAGCTCTCTGTTAAAATTTGATGTGTCAAAAAATTTATGCCTCATAAAATTTGATGTCGTAAAATTTTAACAGCAAATTTTTCTTATGCAAAACATATAGAGTCCTCTAATGATGCAAAAGTAGTCTAGAAACAGTATTCCACATACAAAGTATAGAGAAGAGATTTATAAAAGTAAATGACAACATGCATTAAATACTAACAAGCACTAATAAATTAAAGTAAAACTACTAGGAAGATAACTCTTTATAGATTGCCATAACTTTTTGCTATGACAACAAAAATCAAATCTTTTATTTAATACTTTAATAATTCACAACAATATTAAATATTTACATGACTATTATAAATATTTATTGTTAGTAAAATGTTACTATAATAAATAATATTACAAAAGAAAAAAAACAACAACAAAAATAATAATAAACCTGTATGAGAACGAATGTGCTCTCTCAAATTATCAGTCCTTGCAAAACTCTTGTCACATTGTTCACACTTGAATGGTTTAACTTTTGAGTGAGAGTACAAATGGCGTGTCAATTTATCTTTGCGATAAAAGGTTTTCTCACATCCTACATGGTTTTTAAAAGGACATGGAAATATAGGTCTGTCAGGGGCATGAATCATTAAATGTCGTTTCAGCTTTTCTCTCCTCGAAAAACCTTTACCACAAACTTCACACAAGAAGTCTTGTGTAGCACTATGCATACCTAACATGTGATTTTTCAAATCACGTGGTGTTTTGAATGATTTGGCACACAGTTCACATTTTTGTTCTTTATCGCTATGCAAGAGCTTGTGTCGGACTAATGCTGCTTTGTTAGTGAAAAGTCTTTCACATTGATCACAAGGATAGCTGTGTGTTTCTTTTGTACTATGTCTCTCTAATTTGTCTTCAGTATAAAATCCTTCATTGCAAATTTTACATTTAAATAATTTAGTATGTTTACGCCTGTGTTCCATCATGGTTGTGCGACTGGGAAAAAGAAGCTGGCAAATTGGACAGCGATGCAAGGGATGCCGTGATCTACCTCTTCCTCTACCACGTCCTAATGGTAACAAAATATTTATAAAAAATACTTATAAAAAAAGTACTTTAACTATAAAAACAATTTGAAATTGAATCAAATAAAAAAGTATTTAAAAAAATATATAAATTGTTCTTTACAAAATGAAAGTCTCACAAACTAAGGCAATTTCTGAACCATTGTAACTTGTCATAACAAATTACAATTACTAGTAAAATCACAACTGTTTGATAAGAATACTAAAAATCAAATTTAGAGATCCCTTTAAACATCTAAATAAATTTGATCAAAGTAAAAACTTTCTCACCTTTACTAAGTGAAAAAAACTTATGTATATTTTCAACTGTTGGTAATCCAGAAACATCATCTATTGTTGATAACATAACAGACTCTTGTTGCGTTAAATTGCTTGAATGAGGTGATGGGTCTGGATTATGACGACGCGGTGGGCGTGATTTTCGCTTAGCTTTAGGTGGCATACTCCCTCCCTCTTCCATTTCTTGCATACAATCAACAGCAGTTATTTTGTCTTTATTTGTTTCAAAATGCAAGTATGATTTTCCTGGTGGGCGCCCTCGACCACCTAAAAATTTTACAGAATTAATGATTTAACTGTGAAATATATATATATATATATCTGGGACTATTCTAGACTGTTTTCAACAGCGTCATTTGGGTGCCAATTGGGCCTTTTTTTAAAATATTTTTTAAAACATTGTTTTTTTTTTGCAAAAAACTGTTTACATTTGGCAATATTTCCACTAAACTTTGCCTATAAGGGGTACTGCCACCCAAATTTTTTTCCTAGAATAGCCCATGTATGTATATGTGTGTGTATATATATATATATATATATATATATATATATATATATATATATATATATATATATATATATATATATATATATATATATATATATAAACATATACATATACAGTGCTCGAAGTGGAGAAAAAAAGGAAACGGGATGGTATTTGGTAAATTAAAAATACCATCCCGCCTAATCATTGTTATATAGAGAGATTTATAAAAAGGTAGCGGGATGGTTTATACTTTATATAAAGGTGATGGGATGGCATCCTCCCTCATCCCGCCTCACTTCAAGCACTATATATATATATATATATATATATATATATATATATATATATATATATATATATATATATATATATATATATATATATATATATATATATATATATATATATATATATATATATGTATATTTAAACAATTTTAAAATGTATTCTACAAAATAGAGTGCTCTATGTTCTTAAAAGAACAGAGCAATTATAATTTAGTAGAAAATCACTTAGCAAACTTTTTTCATTTCTAAAAAGGTAAAAAAAATTTGCCAAGTGATTTTCTACTAAATTATATATATATATATATATATATATATATATATATATATATATATATATATATATATATATATATATATATATATATATATATATATATATATATATATATATATATATATATATATATATATATATATATATATATATATATATATATATATATATATATATATCAAAATCCCAATTTAAAGGTGAAAAAATCCCATTCTCCAAATAAAGTTTTACAAATTAAAGTTTAATAATAATTTTAAAAATTATTAAAAATCAATTATTTTCAAAAACTAATAGAAAAATACCATAAAAAACTCTAATTTATTAATTAAGCAAAACTAGAAATAAAAACTTATTTTGCCATATTGGTACAACTACGCGATTGCATAACTTCACAAAATGTCTACGGGAAAAAACTTCTTGAGAATTAGGATTTTCCCAGCAATTTTAGGGATTTTCTCAGCAACTTGCTTGTAAAATTCATTTTTCTAAAATTGCAAATAATTTTCTTCAATGCATTCCAACAACACTGAATATTATGCAAAAAAGTTAGCAAGAAATAGAGTACATTCTAAAAAAAAAAAACTTGTTTGCTTAAACACCCGCAAATGCTATTTCTTAACAATTTTTTTTATTTTGGCTGAAAAGTTAAATAATTTATTAACTTACTGCAAACTCTACTTCAAGTAGTACATGTGCTTTGTCAAAAAAAATATTGAGAAGCTGCCTACGTCAGATTTAATGGTAAGCCTTTTATCTTTTTTTTTACTTGGTATTCTATATCAACTGAATTACGTGATTGCATTGACTAAAATCATTTTTACTTAGCTACCATCTTTTCTTGACTAACTTTTTAAAAAGACCACCTATGAAATGTAAGTTTAATACAAAAAATGTTTTATGATTATAACAAACTGGTACTTGAAATTTATTTAACGAGGAAAATAGATATCTTTACTTTACTGATTGTTTTTAATTAAAACGTAAATTAAATATGTATATTAAAACGTAAATTTAATGTTCATTAACAAAAATATTTTTTTTATTAAAACAAACGCATACTAGAATTTTAAAAATCACTGTCTGAGTCCACTGCTTGCTTGAATTTAAAATATAAAAGCAAGTTTAAATGTTTATATGAACCATAGTCATAATAACTTTTTATGACTATTAATGAAAAAATAATTATTGGTATTCTTCAATGCCATTATAGCGTTCAACCGCTTGCGATTAATATTTTTTTACTGTTAAAGAACATTAGTTGTAGTTTTTGCTGAGATTTTTTAATTGTAATTTTATTTTGCTATACGATTTGTGTCTAAAGAAAATTAATATTAATTATAAAAATGAACTCCCAATAAATTTGAAATATGAAAATTATGAGCTTGTGTTTTCTATTTTCAAATCTTTACTATTTTTCTATTTTTAAAACATTTCTTTTGAGGACACAACTTACTACCTGACGATGTAAGGGTTCGTCCATAATGGACGTCAAGCAGAATTTAAATAATTAAGTATCGTTTGCTCTCTTCTGCAGAGATTTTGATTGAACATAAATCGCTATATTACTTTAAAAATCACCATTTAATGCCCACCATTGAAAATAAATATATATTCAAAAGAATTCTCTTAAAATGAAAGTGGCAATGATATATCAAATATATTATTCTTAATAATAATCAATTAATATATACTGATTATTTTATAATATAGAAATATATACTTCTTAAAGGGATCCCTAAGTGCTCCTAACATATGATCTCATATGAAAGAGCATAAAAAAAAAATATGTAAGTTTTTTTTCTTTTTCACTAAATTGTAATAATAAATGCATGCTAACAAAAAGCAGTTGCCGAAATTACTAAAAAACAACTCCATTTTGATTTTATTTTTTCACCAATGAAACTCGATTGTTAGTCGTTAAAAATCACGTTAGTACGTCACAACAACTTTAGAATATCTACTTCGATTTTCACGTAAAAAAAAGCCATGATTAAATAGTTAAGTTTTAATCAAGTTTTTTTAATTAGTTTTGCAAAAACAGTATAATAGAAAGACGTCTTAAAAAAAAAGTTATTAAGTAATAGTTTTAAATAGTTTAGAACTTATAAAAAAGTCTTACAGGGCTCGTATTAAGCGTATCGCGATCGCGATTGCTACACACACTTTTGTGATTAGTTTTTTCTTAAAAAAAATTCTTTTCGCGACTTGTTTTTTTTTTGGTTGATTAATTACTTTTTTTCTAGCTTAGCATTTTCTTTAGTAATTCTTAAATGTAATGTTTTTATCATAAAGAACGTCACACAAAATTTATTATTCTGAATAGATAGATGAATAGATGATTTGCTCTTTCGCATGGAGATTTTCTTTCAACGTAAAACATTTTTGAATTTAAATTACTTTAAATCTCTGCGTGGAAAATTTTTACAAGGTCGTTAAAGCGAAAAGTTGAAAAGTTGGTTTTTATCTTTGTTTATCAAAACTTCATGATTAAAATAAGGCTTAAAAACGTTAGAGCAAAAAAATTACTGACTTTAATTTGCATTTTTATACTGTTTGAAAAAAAAAACTAATAAAAAAGAATTAATTGTTATTATTATTAATTCTAATAATTATTAATTAATATATTATTAGTTAATTCTTTTTTATTAGTTTTTTTTTTTCAAACAGTATAAAAAAGCTAATAAAAACCAGCAATTTTTTTACTTAAACGTTTTTAAGCCTTATTTTAAACATGAAGTATAATTCGATTTATTAAACCAAATTTTTTTGTTTCATCTTTTATTGGAAAACTTGAAATAGAAAAATTGAATAAAAACATCAACCATTTAGATGAAAAACTTAATTATATTTAAACTTTTATTAGTCCTTTATTCAAGAAACAATAAATTATAAAAAACGTGGTATCTAATTTTTTATTAAGTTTTTGACGATGTTTTTTGATTTATTGATGATAATTTTTTCCCCCATTACCGCACATTGGCGCGAGTTATAAGAAAGAGAGGGCAAAAAAAAAATTTTTTTTCGCGATTAGATTTTTTTTGCGTTAATTCGAGCCCTGTCTTAGTTTAATTTCTAATAAAATGTCTATTCAACCTTATCAATTTGAACCAAAAAAAGATAGCAATTTAACATAAATGTTAATTTAACTAAAACATTTTACAATAATTATTTTTTTTATCAAGCAAAAATGAGAGTAACCGTCACTTTAGAAACCATAAAAATTACTGAAATAAATTTATTTTTCTACTAAGGAAATATTTTAAATAAACTTTCGTGTGTCTAAGTCAATATTCATTTGTTTTTACCTGATTAAAAAGAGTTTAAAATTTGACTTCTACTCATTTTTAGCTGTGCCCTTATACTCATTTTTAGCTGTGCCCTTATAACACAAATATATAAATTTAAATTATAAAAAAAATTTTAATATACAAATATATTTTCACAAAATGCTACAAAACTTATTCTTGTAAGTAATTATGTGTTAGTTGAAAAAAAAAAACGACTTTACTTTTAAATTTAATTACCAACTAATAAGTTTGCAATAATGACATTTTGTCTACTTTGTTTAATTTGACGTACAAACGTTAGTTTTTGAGGCAATAGAGTCAATAAACTTTGGACAAGACGCATTTTTTTTAATCGAAGAAAAACGTTTTTTTGAAAATTAAATTTGTTAGTGTGTGTTCATTATTACGTTTTAGAAAAAATAATATACATCAAACATTTTTTTTTTTTATGCTCTTTCATATGAGATCATATCTTTATAGCACTTAGGGATCCCTTTAATATATCTTTGGAAATCGGAGGTCAATTTGTTGTGTCGTTGTGAAACTACATCTAATTTTGTGTTGATACAGATAGTATTTTATTTTTTGCGCCGTCCAGTTGATGTATACAGCGCTGCAGTGGAGTAGAAGAAGAAATAATATTAAAAAAAAATCCCACGCATTCCTGAAACACATTTTAATATCGGGGGACGGGTAGTAGGATTGGAAAATTTTTTGACAAATTCTCAATTTTTTCAAAAGCTGTATCAAATTTCTTCCTGGTTAACACCCTAATATATAAGATAAACTACAAGTATTGTTTTACAGTTAAACTCGTGAAATTTGAATCCTCAATTGGTATCAAAATATGTTTGAATTACAAGAGTTTTTGAATTATAGGGGCTCAATCCTAAATATTTAACCCTAGTGAATTTAACTTGAAACATTTAACCGAAGATTTTGTTCAATTAAAAAGATGCTTCGAATTATAGAACTCAAATTACAAGAGTTTAACTGTAATTCTAATAAAATGTTTATTCAATTTAATTAAAGTTGTGCAAAACTTATTTTTACAATCAAATATTGCAATATTTTGAAAATAACTTAAAATTAAATTTAAAAAATTAAACAGTTAAAATTCCAAGTTAAAACATGTATTAATTAATATAGTTAATTTATATAACTACGTAATTAAGTTTGAAAAAAGGCTCAATTTCACTAAATTTTTATTCTGGGGAAGTGGGGTTCATAAATGAATAAAAATTAACCTTATTAAAAAAACTGTTATTATAAAATTGTTAAATTTATGATTTAAGAATATTCTTTGAAATCAGCAGTTATTATAACCATTTTCACTATGCAAAAATCCTATAAGATTTTTACATAGTATATTTTGGGCCTACTGTTTCAGTAGGCCAAAAACACTAGGTTACAACTGTTTACACATTAAAATTCATGAAAACAAAAGAAAAACCAAGCAGCGGTGATGCAGTGGTAGCGCACTTGCCTCAGAAATAAAAGATTCTGGGTTTGAATCCCATTTGGGAAGGTTTTGCAACATCAGTTAGGAAGAGGCGTGAACTTCCTATTAAATGCTCTTCCGCAGTGCTCTGTGATAAGACCGTAAGGACTTCTTGGGGCGCCTAAATAAACTTATATTTAAAAAAATCAGTTAAATCTAAATATATATATGAAGCAGTGGTCAAAGTAGTGGCTGACATTGGCGCCCCTCAAATCATTTGTTAGAGAGGAGCAAAATAAATTCCAGTGACAATTTGGGCGTGAAAACTTTACCAGACCTGAAAGGTTTTGCTAGCAGTTGACTAAAGCATTTTTTTGATAAATTGTTGAACTTTGTCTGCATAAAACAAAATGCAAGATGTTTATTACCAGCAGCATTAATAAAACCCAAAGTTCACTATTTCTATTTTTAACAGAAACGATTAATTATGGGGTCAAAAAGCAATGATATAGAAAAAGATTATCTATAACATGATTAAAAGACGTTTGCAAGAAGTTTATTCAATAATTTATGAGGAAAAAAACAAAATTGTCATAACTATTTTATTATATGTAATCTATTTTTATTTCACTTATTTAACTATAAATTAAGATAAATTAAATTTTTTTTTTAAACATTAAAATAATGTTGCAATAAAAAAAATACTTTAATTTTTTATAAAACTAGAGTTATTAGGAAAAATTAGTTAATTGTAACTGTTCATTTTCTTTAATTTGAGTGTTATCTTTTTGTTCACTTTCCAGAGACATAAATGAATCACAAAAAATAGTGTTTTTTGCACCAGCTAATAACATATTCTGATTCTCAAGAATAAAAAAAAAAGTTAATTGATTGATATTTAACAGTGTTTTTTTTTAATTTAATAGAACTTAATCATTTATTTGATTGAATGCTTAACTTATTTAACTACTATTTAATAGCGTTTTTTACAACTATAAGTTGTAAACCAATTCAGTAAAATTATCGATTTTAGTTAATTTCTATTTTTATTGGCTACTAAAATGTTTTTATTAATATAATTTTTATATTACATTAATTGTATTTTTCCTTTTTTTAAAACAATTTAAAAAAAAAGTTTTATCAAAGCATTTCAACTATTTTAATACATAGTTTTATTTTAGTTAATTATGTTTAACCCAATGGTCATTTGATGTGTTTAAGATGTCTAAAAAGCCTATTAAAACATGTTAATATGTTTTTTAGACATTTAAAACACGCCTTGTGCCCACTAGAAATTAATAATAATGATTAGAAAAGTCTAATGCATTAAAAATGCATTAGACTTTTCTGTTATGAAGCAAAAATCTTGCAACAAGGCCTGCACAGTCCTTTTACAATAGACATCCACAAAATTTGCTTTTATGGACAGTAAAAATCCACCATTATAGACTTGTATTTAGAACAAGACTTGATAAATATTTTTAATTAAGCTAACATACAAAAAAAAATCAATCGGTGACAGTCAAACAACAATAATCTGTAAAAACAATAAAATAAAAACTAAGGAATTGAACAAGATTTTTAAAAATAACTCACGCTTTTTAACTTGAATAGTTTGGTCAAACTTTGATGTTTCTTGTACAGGTAACTGTTCATTTTCTTTAATTTGAGTGTCATCTTTTTGTTCACTTTCCAGAGACATAAATGAATCACGAAAAATAGTGTTTTTTGCAGCAGCTAATAATATATTCTGATTCTCAAGAATAATTGAATTATGAAGAACAGATTTGGATGAGTTTGAGGGTTTGCAAACTTTTGATGCTTTGTGAGAGATGTAGTCTTGAAGTTTTTGAAATATTTGTTTACATCGACCACATTGATGTACATCCTCATCTTCACCTGCAAAATCAAATTTCTAAAAAATAATAATCTATTTGAACGATTGATTTTAAGTTAAAAGACTGAAATAAATATAAGTCAAAATATAAAAAACAAGTTGAATACAATATGAATCATTTTAATCATTAACAAATCAAAAGCCTGAGTTACAATAAATTAGGGTGTAACAAGATAAAAAACAAATAAAACTGTAATAACAAATTGTGCCTTACAAAAAAATTTTTTTTAAAAAAACTTTAAAACATCAACATTTCTGATTTAAATGAGTAGCGGCTCTAGTTTCATAAAAATTCAAATTAATTTTTCTGTCAACTTAGCCAAGTAAGTTTTTTTAAAAATAGTATGAAAATAAAAATGCAATGAGATGACAATTAATTCTATATTCTAAAAACAGATAGTCTCAGGTTTATGTTATATTTCATAAAACAGTCCTCATGTTTTTAGTCGTATGCCAAGAACCCTAGGTGAAAAAGTTTACCTACAGTAATATTACAATTAAGATTTATAAAATGCAAAAATTTAAACTTTTAGTTTGTTTATTCACTAAAATGTAAGGTAACCTGATAAATCATTTTCACCAATAACTTCTTCTTGATCTCTTTTATCTTCTGTAGTGACTTCATCGTTTTCACTTACATAATGTTGTTCAAGTTGATCAGAGTTTTGTAAGTGACTTACTGATATGTCATTTGAAGTACTATCATAGTTATTAATGGAAGGAGTAGCTGTTGAAACGAGTTTTGAAAAATCAAACATACCTGCATGTCCTCCAAACGTTGCTAAGTAAAAAAAAACTAAGCTAAATAACTACAAAATTATAAATATATAATACAAATAAACTATAAACTTAAACAATTCAATTAATTTCTGTGTGTGTGTCTGTGTGTGTGTGTGTATATATATATATATATATATATATATATATATATATATATATATATATGTATATATATATATATATATATATATATATACATATATATATACAGGCTTGGTCGGGAAGCGAGAGCGATTGCTCTTGATTGCTGACCACGGAAATAATATTTAAATGCAAAAAGCTGGCCAGATTTTTTGGTCGTTTTGAGAACATTTAACAAAGTTATTGTAAATTTTGTAAATAAAAAAGTTAATTTTTTTAATACCTATTTTATGTTTCGCGTAGTTTGAAAAGTTTAACATATCTGAAACAATTCTTCTTAGTAAGATAAAAAAATGAAATAATTAAATCATTGAATTACTATAGAAATTAAATTAACTAGATAAAAATCAACTAAAAAGGTTAAAAATACTGTACGAACAGGAAGCGAAACTGCTTCACAATATTGCTGATGATGTTTAGTGAGTGGGCTTTTTAATTTTAATTAGTATTTAAAGCAGAAAAAAGTGTAACAAGTTTTTAAGAATGGCAACTTAAGCGAAAAAATTAGAGTTAGTAAACCAATATCTAGAAACTTTTCTTTATATCAATTAACTTGCTATATATATTTGTATTCTGTCATGACCTCAGGCGCGGTGCTTGTTCATCCATGAGTTACTATGTATGCATTGTTTGTGTTTATTAACCAGAAACTTCTTATATGTTTGTTACAGAAGTTTTATTAACTTTAATGATTATTAATAACTTCATTGAAAATGCAAAGACTTACAAAAATAACTTTATTTTTGTAAGTCTTTGTTTACAAATTAAATCATAAAAATTGCTTTAAAAGATTACATTACGATAAAAAACAGATGCACAAAATTACATTTGCAAAAAAAATACATACTTTTTAAATTTATAATTTATAATAAACTTTCAAAATTTTGACAATTTAAAAAAGTATTTATAACATTTATTTTTGTAAAAAAATAATAATAGTTTATAAGATTTACAGCATTACAGATGTGGCTCCGAGAATGAGCCATAATATTGATTATATATTCTTAAAACAATTTATGCTAGAAATCTCATAACGTAAAAAATTGTTTCGCGCAAATTTTTTGTCCTTTATTTTTCCATATTTTTATTATACAGACTTGATAATTTATTCAAGCACGTTTAATTCATAGGAGTTTTAGTGCATGACATCATAGATTTTGTTTGTTTGTTTGTTTGAAACACCGATTGTTATTTTTTACATACAATTTCCAAATCATATTCATTTTATTACATTTTAAAGTTCTAAAATGTGTTTGTAAAAAAATAAAAACAAAATAGTATTTTATTTGCGCAACTTTTTTTAAATAATCATATAGACCATGTGTATTTTGATTTCTTTTGTTATAAGTTTTTCTCTCAAAATATTAGATAAAATAATTTCTAACCTAAATAACAATGCACTTTTATTAATTTACTTAGTAAATATTAAAAAAAAAAAAATTATTAACGCAATTTTTCTCTGATTTTCAAAAATGTATTTTTTGGTATTGAGGTGATCTTATTTCATTATTTATATTTCCCTTATTATAACATCCAATATATATTATGGCGGGGGCTTAAAAATTAAAAAATTAATATATATTAATTTTTATTTTACAGACATACATGGAAACATAATTAACTTAAATGTTCTTAAAACATCTTGAGGAAGAATAAATAGAATATTCGCGAACACTAAAAACCTGCCAAACTTGCGAACAAACTAATTCTATTGGTTCAAAAAATACGCTAACTAAGCAAAATAAAGTTCTAGAGTATTCTGTTAAAATGTTTAAGGAATTGTATTATTTACGATTTGTTGCGTTTTGAGATATCTAGCATAAATTTTTTTAAGAATATATTATCAAATGAACTATTACTTTAATATTATGGCTCATTCTCGGAGCCACATCCAGGCTTGGTCGGGAAGCGGGAGCGATTGCTCTCGATTGCTGACCACGTAAATAATAATTAGTTTCGAAAAGCTGGCCAGATTTTTTAGCCGTTTTGAGAACATTTTAAAAAGCAAAAAAAAAGCGACAAAGATTAATTAGACCGATGAGAGGCAATTACAACAAAAAAAAAAAAAAAAAAAAAAAGGCAAATAAAATTTCTTTAAACGCGAAAAAACTCAAAGCTAAAAAAATTACATTTAGAACAAATATTTTCGAAACATTGCTCTTTTACAATTTTTTTTTATAAAATTAAGCGATGTTTTTTATATAAATTAACAACTAACGATTGTTTAAAAGGGAAACAAATATTCTTTATTTAACTAAGTTTGCAAGTTTTAGTATTACTTAAGCTAAATTATTTTATAAATAAAAAAATTAATTTTTTTAATACCTATTTTATGTTTCGCGTAGTTTGAAAAGTTTAACATATTTGAAGCGTTTCTTCTTAGTAAGATAAACAAAAATAAAATTACTTTAAAATACTTAAAAATACTTAACGAACAGGAAGCGAAACTGCTTCACAATATTGCTGATGATGTTTAGTGAGTGGGCTTTTTAATTTTAATTAGTATTTAAAGCAGAAAAAAGTGTAACGAGTTTTAAGAATGGCAACTTAAGCGAAAATAATTAGAGTTAGTAAACCAATATCTAGAAACTTTTCTTTATATCTAATTATTTGTTATATATATTTGTGTTCTGTCGTGACCTCAGGCGCGATGCTTGTTCATCCGCGAGTTACTTTGTATGCGTTGTTTGTGTTTAGTAACCAGAAACTTCATATATGTTTGTTACATAATTAGTTTTATTAACTTTAACGATTATAACTTCATTGAAAACCAACTATTTTTGTAAGTCTTTGTTTAAATCATGAAAATTGCTTTAAAAGATACATTACGATAAAAAACAAATACACAAAATTACATTTACATAAAGAATACAATCTCTTTTAAAATAAAAAATAAGAATATACTAATAAAATCTATGATTTATAATAAACTTTTAAAATTTTGACAATTTAATTAATATATATTTAAAACATTTATTTTTGTAAACAAATAATATATATTCTTAAAACAATGCCAGAAATCTCAAAACGTAACAAATCGTGAATAATACAATTTCTAAAACATTTTCTAGAAATTTATTTCGCTTAATCAGCGTATTTTTTGAACCAATAGAATTAGTTTTTCGTTAATTTGGCGGGTTTTTAGAGTTTGCAAACATTCTTTTTATTCTTTCGCACAAAGATGTTTTGAGAACATTCAAGTTTTTTATGTTTCCATGTATGTCCGTAAAACAAAAAATTTTTGTTTCGTACATAAACCTAAATGTTCTCAAAACAACTAAAAAACTTGGCTAGTTTTACGCAACTAAATATAATTTCCGTGGTCAGTATTCGAGAGCGACCGCTCCCGCTTCCCGACCAAGCCTGCACATCTGTAAAGCCGTAAATCTTTTAAACTATTATCATTTGTTTACAAAAATAAATGTTTTTTAATATATATTTTTTAAATTATCAAAATTTTGAAAGTTAATGACAAATTGTATATTTTATTAGTATATTCTTAATTTTTATATCTTTTCTTAGTGCTTGGTTTAATTAATTGTTCGTTAAATTTGTAAAAAAAATTAACGAACAATTAATAAAATAAACTTTTAATAAAATTAGTAACTATAGTTAGCTATTTTTGTAAAATTTAATAGAAAAATTTTTAAAGAATTTCTAGAATGCTTCCAATGTCGTCATGCACTAAAACTCATATGAATTAAACGCGCTTGAATAAATTATCAAGTCCGTATAATGCGCCTGGAAAATTGCATTTATTTTACATACTCAAAATACAGCAGAAAATAGAGAAGACCAGTTTCGACTAAAACAACAAGATTTGTTTTTCTTGGTATACATTTATTAATTAGTTTTAATCAAAAAAAATTTGCTCAGACGTTATTTTTTAACATTTTTTTAAATATGAACACAACATGTCTCGGGATTTGGTAGTCCCTTTAAGGCTATTTTCCACAAGACAAAAAATTTGCCCGAAGCGACAATAAGCATGCGCAGAATAAACATATTTGGCAATTATGCTGATTTTTTTTCGCTACTGCGTTTCGCTGCAGCGCAAAAAAAAGATGGATTCGTTTCGACTTTCTGAGAATTGCCATAAGCGAAAACCAATCAAGTTTTGAATATTATATCATGTGATCTCAACAGTACACTCAAACACACACATATATATATATATATATATATATCAGGCCTTGTTTTAAATAAAAAAGTGCTTAATGCATTAGCTTAACGCAATTTTGACGTCATAAAATTATCTTTATTTTTTTTTATAGACGTTAAGTGTTTTAACTACCGCAATAAATAAATAACCGCAAACTAATTCAATTTAACAATTAACTCAAATATAAACTATAAACGTTTTAAATATAAATTTATTATGAAAATTTTGTAATGTTTTCAATTGTTATTTTATTATTAATTTTAGTTCAATATTATTTAGTAAAAAAAATATATATATATATATTAATTATTTCTGAAATTTGTTTTTGAATAATTGTTTTTAATCGTTATTGAATAAAAAATAATAATGATTTTTTTTATTTTTAAAAATTTCTAGAGTAAACAAAAAATATTAACATTGATAAACACAAACCCATGTTAATTATTTAAACAACGATTTTGTTTTGACTAGCAAAGAAAAATTTAAGTTTTTAAATATTTTTAAAATTTTTAAAAGCGTTTCAACTTGCGTTTTATAAAAATATAAAAAAGTTTTGTCTGCTTTGAAGCGTATTTTTGATACGTAGTTTAGAACGCGTTCGCTAGGAATTTAATTCATAAACTTTTTATGTTATTGTAAAAATATTTAACTTTTTAAACAAATCACAAAGAAACAGAGCTGTAGAGAAAAATCGTTTTCAACGATTTAATCTTTTTTTTTTTTTTAATTTTAGGAAATTAAAAAAAAAATTAAATTAAATATAAAAGTCTTAATTATGCAAACTCTTTTATTAATTATTCTTAAAACAAAAAAACAAATACTTGTACGCCAAACTTTAATCGTGCAAACTTATAAAAATACTCAACTGAAATAATTTAAGTATATTTAATAATTTGAATCGTATCTGTTTATAATAAACGTTCGTAAAATTTATTAAAAATTAAGTTCCTTAACTTATAAACAAACTCAAAAGTATTTTCATTCTACGTATTATTACAAAACTCTTTTTTTTTTTTTTGTTTGTAAGCAATTTAACTTAATAAAATAAAAAAAAGAATAAATATGAGGTAATCTTTGTTAAGAATAAATTTAATTTATTTATTGAACTATATTTTTATTTTTAATTATATATCAACTTAATTAAAATATAGTAACATGTTAAAATATTTTAACATGACTTGTATTATTTATAAACCGTTGGGCAGTTGCCCTTACGGCTCTATTGTTTTTGGATAATATTTTATTTTGATGAAGATCACATAACTTACATTTGATTTTAATAACGTAAGTCTTCTCTTTTTCTGTGATCATCGCATCGGCAAAGTCCCAAAATTTAAAAGTTTTTAAAGTAAATCTTTTGTCCTTCAAAATACAATCCATATTCGAACTTTAAATAATTTAGAGATAATAGAAATATACAAGGTTTTTACATACTAGTTTGTTTTGTTTTATAAAGAAAAATACATATTCATTAGTAAAAAATGGAGACTGTCATTAAACTAAAACGTGCTTTAGTATTTATTTAACGGAACCTGTAATGTGCGCGTGCATAATAAAACCTCCGTTATATAAATATATTCAACATAATATTAGTGTCATCAGCGGATGTTGTAGTCTACTCATGATTTCTTTACCTTATATTATTACTTGATTTATGACAAAAAAAACTTATTGAATCGCACGCAGAAGAATTTTAACAAATTGTCTTCATTCAAATATTGCGAGTAACAGGTAATTTTTTTTTCTGTGCCGACTCCCTCCCCCCGCATAACTTAAACTATATACTAATAAACTAATAAGAAAAGCTATATACTATTAAACTAACTATAAGCTATATACTATTAAACTAATAAGAAAAGCAAAGACATTTTTTTTAACATCTCGAAAAAATGTCTTGATATTTTTGTTATCATGATAACAAAAATATTAAGACATTTTTTGAGATTTTATTTAAAAAAATGTAAATTCTTAATTACAAATTTTTTTGCAAATGTTTTTTATTATAAATTCAGTAAAAAATTCATAAAAAATCTATATTACAAAAAACTTTTATATTCTGTATTAATAAATATGGAATATAGATTTTTTAAAAGTTTTTTACTAAAAACTTAACTACTTTTTATTAAAAACATTGCAAAAAATTTGTAGTTAAGGATTGACAAACAATTTTTCATGTTGCTAAATATTTGGATAAAAAGTTTAGCGTCAAATTAATTGCTATAAAAAGGAAAGATATATCGCGATGAAAAGTTACAACAATTAATTTTAAAGTAAATTCTTTTTTTTAATAAATACCTTTACATATCGTTATTTAAAAGTTAATGTGGTTTTTTTGAAAATTAATTACTTCTTTTATGTTACCGCTAATTTAAAAGTTAAAAAATGATAAAAAGTAGCTTAACCAAAACAGCTCTACGCGTACGTAAAAAGCGCTTAAGGCGTACGTAAATCGCTCTAGGCGTAACGCTTTAAAACAAGGCCTATATATATATATATATATATATATATATATATATATATATATATATATACACACAATATTTTTTGCAACAATATATACCTGATGTGTATTGGAAACCACCATTATTTGTATAGTTTTGACCAGATGACAAATAAGATTCAGAGTGTACATACTGTTGATCTGACTGTTCAAGACTTCTAGACCAATGTGGAGAATATATATGAGAATTACCTTGCTGAATTGAATAACTTTGTTCAGAAACTGATAATAAATGTTTTTGCTTTTGCTGGTTATTTTGTGAATAAACAAGATTTGGCAACGAATTAAATTGTCTATCTAACTTCTGATTTTTTTTATGTTGATCCTGAAAAAATAAAAAAATAAAAATATATATTTATATATATATAAAAATTAAAATATATATATATATATATATATATATATATATATATATATATATATATATATATATATATATATATATATCAGGCCATGTTTTAAATAAAAAAATGCTTAACGCATTAGTCTTATGTGAATTTGATGTCATTAAATTCTTTAATGACATCAAATTCAAATATTAAATTCTTTATCTTTTTATTTTTTAAAGACATTAACTTTTTTAAATTACTGCAATAATATCAATTATAACAAAACAAGCTGAATATTATTTAACTTGTTTTTTATTATTAGTATTAGGAAAAATACTAATAATAAAAAACAGTTTTAAAATAATTATTTCTTAAACAATCATTTAAAAAAATTTGCGAGTAACAAATAAAAAAAATTACGTTAATTTATCTACTTTATTAATTAAAAGTTTATTATTTTATTAGCAATTTTGTTGTGAAAGTAAAAATTATTTTTCTAAACACCATTTCTAAAAATTATATCGTTGAATATATTGTTTATTAAAAAATAATTGCTCTACTTTATAATGAGCTCTACTTGCGTTATAAAAATATGTTTAACTTGCGTTTTGTGGAAATTCTTGATATAGCCTTGGAACACGATTATTTAATATTTCATTTGAGTAAAAAAAAAAATGTTTAGGAAAGAAAACCGAAAGAACAATTGCGATAAAAATGAGCTAATTTTTTTTTTAAAGAATAAAAAAAATTTAAATATTGAACAATATTTAGTAACATTTTTTAATAAACTTGACAGTCAAGTTAAACCCAAAGCATTAACTTTAATTTTAATAAATTTAAATATTTTTTTAAATCAAAATTAATATATATATTTTTTAAATCGAAACTAAATTGTATATTTTTAAAATATATAATTCAATTTAAGCTTAAAGTATCAAGGTTTTTCAAGCAAAAAAATCGATCATTACAATAATAAAAAAAAAAAAAAACTAGTTATAAATTATTTATTACTATATATAGAAATTTAAGTAAACTTTTTTAATGCTATCAAAAGTTGCATAAACATTCTTGTGCTCTTAAGATGATAAATAAATGTTTTTATTACATAAATTTTATGTTTGTTTTTTTATGTTCTTATTAATAACTTTGCATAAAAAAAAAAAAAAAAGTCAAAAACATATATATATGTAAAAAAAGTCTCTTTCGACTACAATTTTAATTACCTCATCTCTTAAGCTGTTTTTGATTGTCGTTGAAATGTCAAAGCAATTAAATTAATGCGGAAACACATTATATTTTTTTTTTTTTTTTTTTTTTAAAAACTGCAATAAAGTAAAGACTAGAAAGTTTTTTTCAATTAGTGGTGTTTATGTTTTTGTTTTATTAAAAAATATTTTTAAAACATGCATAAATGTTGCTACATCGACTATCTTATAGCCTCCTGCTACAAGGGAGTGTTTCTACATCGACTATCTTATAGCCTAACTTGCAACGGAGTGCTGCTACATCGACTGACAAATAGTCTGACTCGCAAGAGAGTGTTGCTACACCGACTGACAAATAGCCTGACTCGCAAGGGAGTGCTGCTACAACAATTGACAAATAGCCTGACTCGCAAGGGAGTGCTGCTACATCGACTGAGGGTTTGGTTTGGGCAGGCAGTCTATCATTTAAAAAAAAAATAATTTAAGTTTTTAAACTTTTTCTGGTCTGGTTTATTAACGCGCTCTTTAAAACTACAGTTTATGGGAAACTCTTTCTGACTACTATGCAAGAGTATATATCAGGCCTTGTTAAGAAGCGTTACGCAGCTCGCATTTTGCCTGCGAAAAGGCGATTTGCCTACGCGTTCAGCAGTTATGCGTTACGCAAAAACTTTAATCTTTAAGAATATTTAAATTATCTTTTTATATCGTTTATGTGACGTTCATTCAGAAGTATTAAAGTCGTAAGTAAAAGCATTTAACCGCAATTGTAAACTAATAGATTTTTTGTTAAAGAAACAATTTGTTTAATAATTTTTTTTTTTTGTTTTTAAAAATTACTTAAAGAAAATAAAGTTTAAACTTTTCATCATATTTAATTTTAAATATTAGATTTCATAAGTTTATAAACAATCAAATTTAAAAAAAGAAATATTTTCAATTTATTTTATTAAATTTAAATATTTTTTTAATAATTATAGTTTTTAGTAAATAAATTTATTAAATTTAATTAAAATTCTTTCATTTAATTTTAAAACAGAGCATTTTAAAATTTTTTAATTTTAAAATGCTCCGTTTTTTTTATAAAATTACCAAAGTAAAAAAAGATTTGATAAATTTAATTCAAGTTACTTTAAAATGTTCGTATTACATATAACTTTATTTTAATTTTAGTTAAGTTTCAGGTAAGTTCCAAATACTGGTCTGAAAGATGTGCTTACAAAAGCGCATTATTTTCCAGTTTTTATTTTTCCATTATTTTACAGTTTCATTCATTATTTCCAGAAGCGTATTATTCATTTTATAACTACAAGTTAATAAATGACGTCAATACTTTTAAACTCGAGTTATAAATGTTTGTTTGGGTTTTCCCTTTGCCGTTTGCCAAAGAATTTTTTTTTATAAAACAAACTAAGGACGTATTAACAATACGTCCTTGAACAAACTAAAATACAAACCTATTAAAAATAACGTGATCAGTAAATAAACTTTTTAAAAACCCAACTTATCTTTATTTTATTTTAAAAACAAAACTAGTACTTGAGCTATAAATATAAGATACATAAATTTCAAAATTATAATGATATTTGTTAAAAACAAATTCTGCTTATAACATCTGAAAACCGAAAACACTATTTTTTTTTTGGATTGAGAAAAAAAATATTAGGTTTCACTGTACATAAAAAAAAAATAGTTTAATGGAAATAAAAAAAAACAAAGCCGAAAAAGCAGTAAATTTCGTTTCTTTACAACATTTATTTTATCAAAACAAACGTTTTTTTTTAATGCGTTTAGTTATAAGTACATTTAAATCCCTTTAAGAAAATCAACCATAAAGTGTTAAATTTAAATTATTTAAAAATAAAATAAAAAAAAAACAACCTTAAAACGAATGTTTATAAGCAAAAAAATTAAGTTTAAATAAGTATAAGATTTTAATACAAGAAGACTTTTTTTTAACCAACATTGAAATTTTTTTTTTTTGTAACAACATTGTACAATTTAAAGCTATTTCGTTTCAAAGACTAACAATAGTTTTTAATGTCATTTTAAATTTAATTACAATTAAGTAAAAACGCAACTGACGTAAATTAACTTTTAACAATGTAAATATCTTTATTGAGTAAAGTTTATTCACGTTCAGCTTTTCCGTTACGCAGCGAAATCTCGTAACAAGGCCTGATATATATATATATATATATATATATATATATATATATATATATATATATATATATATATATATATATATATATATATATATATATATATATATACACACATATATATATATATATATTTCAAAAAAATCACGCACGAAACATTGCATCTGTTGCATTAATTATTTTGAAAATAATGCAATTTGTAACCACTGACTTACTTTTATTTTATTGACATCTATGTATATATTACCTATACAAAGTATGGTAGCTATGGGTTGCTTCATTATAAAATAAATGAACTTTTTAAAGGAGTCACGCACGGAACAGAAAAAAGCAAAAATTAATAAAATTAATAAATGAACCCTATTTTCTTTGAAAATGTATTAGTGACGAGTGTTTTGTTTTTTATAGGTAATTATACAAGCATTTTTAAAGATTATTACAGCATTCTACAATGTATCTTTGCTCTGCAATATTCGTTTAAACCAAAATCACGAACGGGCAAAAAAAAGTAACGAACGGAACATGCAGACTTTTTTGTATTTTTGGAAATAAATTGATTGCGACTATCATAAATAGCATATATATCAATACTAATTAATTTAATACACATTGGATTAAAAAAAAATACTTAAGTGTATTATATTAAAGACAAATAATGTATTATATAGTTAATAATATATTAAAGAAAAGAAAGATACAATATCAAATTTTTATCAATATGTTTAGTTGTAACACTTTGGCTTGATAATAATATGCCCACGGTTATTAAAGTGTGGTTGCGGTACTAACGGTTTTAACTCACACAAGTCATGCCAGGAGAGGTCGTCTACAGATGGGTATATAAAAATGAGTTCGTTTTGTTCTTTTAGGAATTTAATATGTGCCATATTATCTAATACTTCGGCAAGGTATATCTTTGCTCTACCAGCAGAACGCAATTCTACAAAGACAAATATACCTGGAGAAATAGTATTAAATTTGTACCTTTCAGATGGGGATGATACCGCGTTTATCAATAATGAAGATGATGAATTCTTAACAATTTTTACTATTTCTGATTGGTTATAAATTGCCATGTAAATGCCATCGATATTAAAAAGAAGAGTGGTGGCGACGAATACCCTTGACTTTAAACTTATCTTTGAGAAGTGTCTCATTGATCTCACTTTGGTTTGCGGTAATACACTCATTTGTAATAGAGATGATCTAAAAAAATGAAAATTTAATAACCAAAAGTTTCACATCTATAACTTTCATTATGAGGTTTTTTCTATAAATAATGATTTACATTAATTTTGGTATTTTTTTCACTTGCAATGCTCACAAGATCTTGTAAACTGCAACAATATCATTTTCCAGATTTTACTGTTGTCCAAACCATTCTTTTTATTTCTCCAACTATGCCACCAACTGTCCCCTTTCCGTGTGATGTTGCAAAAAATGACTAACGAATCTCAAGAAGTTCAGATGATAATTTGGACAAATTATTCATGGCTGTCGTGACATAAGTGTTTTTGAATTGTGATGAAGGACCATCAGTGAAAAAGTGTAATTTACAAATATTATGATAACAACTTAATAATCCATTGATAATAAACAAGACGGCATATTTATCATTAAGTAAACGATCGGATACAATGGCATAGGAATGTGTATTGTTCTTACTCCAAATTGCTGCAGTGAATACTGTTAGTTGCTGATGAACCCAGTAAGCAGATTGAATTTCACTTTGCTCCATTATGGTGTAATTTTCACTGAAATCCATCTAATTTTAGAATTAAAAATATAAATGGATGAATAATTAGTTTATAAATATAACAAAAAGATTAATACAAAATTATTAAGTTTAGTTATCGCACTACAAATAAAATTACAATTTTACTTACTTGTATAATCAATTCATTTTCTGATACATTTTAGTGACATAAACGAAAATATGCACTTTGTTGTTGCTTTATATACACATGCCGTATATAATCTGGCAATTGCTGACGCAGTAATACGCACCCCTTTAACAAAGATGTTAGTGGTTGTTCAATTTTCTGCGCGTTTTTTGTTGGAATCGTCACCAAATGAGTCTATTACATTAGAAACATATTCATCAAACTTTGGCAACCCACAATTTGCTTAGTTGTTTTTAATTGGTTGTTTTGATTACACACAGGTCTGTCAACTATTTATGACATAACATTAAATTTTTTTTGAAGGGCATTCGTTAACAACCTGAAATTTTCATGGTATATGCAAAGGCAAATATCGCAAGTAATATCGTTTACTAGCTTGACATAGAATTTAAATTAATATGCTCACTTTTAAAAAGTGAATATGCTTCTCATATGGTCATCAGCATGTGACAAATTTGTTTCTAAAAGAAAACAAAAATTGTTTACAAAAACTGAAAACCTTATTAAATAAAATGCGATTCCTACATATAAACGATGTGTCATACCTTCTCTTTTGTTTTCTTATTAATAGCAACATCTTTGCGTCCTGCAGTCATTCTACTAATATCATCTCACAAATAAAAATCAATAACTTTGCAATTAACATCGTCCAAACCGACGTGGTCAGGGCCTGATTCTAAAATATTGGAAAGTAGTATGTTTTCACGTTTACAAATTTTTTTTAAAAGGTATTTTCTTTTGTATGAATTGGCGGGTAATGCTGAATTAATTTTTTTAAGTGCCTTTCTAAAACTCTGCGGAGATAAAAAGGATTGTTTAATATCAGATGTAGATTGGTTCACCTCTCGCTTTTGCTTCTTTCTTTCACGGTTTTTTTGACATACTTCCTCCTTTACTTTTTCGCTCATGTTAGCTCTTTTATTTTTCATTCGATTAGTTTCAGCAATCCAATATTCTGGATGTTTCTTTCTAAATTTTTTCTGAACTATTGAATGCTTAACTTTGTTCATTTTAATTCTAAATTCTTTTAAGCAACTGTTTTCTATCTAACTAAGTTATACTCAAACTAATTAATATCCTATTCAAACGTTATGAAGCTAAAGAAAAATAATTATCACGCACGGATGAATATTTGTCCGTGCGTAATATGTCTGTGCGTGATGCAAAAAAAACAATGCTAAAATGTCGTAGAAGAAAAAAAAAAATTTGCCATTCAATTCAGTAACCTAACAATACGCAAAGTAAAAAATATCACTTAACTAAAACTTTTTAACACTTTTCTATCTAAATAATTAGATCTTTTAAATCACGCACGGAAATTCAAAACCCCATTCTTTTTGGCATAAAATATTAGATACCTCCAAGATACTTAGTTGCAATTTATGATAATGAAATATTAAAAGACATCATTATCTTTATGAATCAAAAAAAACTGGGTCATGAAATCAATTTTAAATGTTATAATCATTGTAATAAAAAATTTTTAATTTTATTTATTCATTGCGAACTTTGAATAATTAAAACATGAAGAAAAATTAAACATAATAACACAATATTTACATAATTAACATAATACATGATTGTTAATAACCATTTATATTTTTTTTCTTAAACCATTGTATCGTTTTGTTTTATTTTTTTTGCATGGGATTTTTTGTTACGAACATAACAGTTACGACTGTCATGACAGAATAAAAATAAAAACGCTTGTAAAACTTCAAGTAAAAACTATGAAACTCGGTTTCTGTATGCATTTGCTATAATGCTTATAATTAAAATAAACTAAAGAATTTTAGTAAGTGCAAGGTTTAAATTTTTAAATTACATATTCTATAAAAACCTAAATTTAACTAATTTTGGATAGTTAATAATCATAACAGTGTTAAAAAAGATGGCTAATATTACTATTTTAAGTATATTTTTTAAAAACTACTTAAATCAAAATTAGAGTCCTTTAATTTTCAAAATATTTTAAATTTTTAATCACACCATTACAAAAAATATATGTATAGTTAAAATTAAAAATATTTACATCCTCATTGTTGTCACAAGAAAAATTTAAACATGCATAAATTTTAATCCATTTTTTTTTAATTTCATTTTAGAAATTTGGTAAATTATATGTATGTATGTGAGTGTATATATACATATATATATATATATATATATATATATATATATATATATATATATATATATATATATATATATATATATATATATATATATATATATATATATATATATATATCAATGTCTGAAATAAAATAGAAAAAAAAGAAAGAATTTTCAGCACATTTAGATTTTTCTTATAACATACATTATAAAACAAGAGTAGAGATGATTCTTTAACTAATTTTGAGTTGTTTTTTTTAATAAGTCACATTTGAATGGATTTATTTAGTTGAAATAGGGGGTGCAGCCTAAAAATGCTTCCCTTTGAATAAAAATATTAGGCAAGAAAGCACTTTTAGGACCAGAATGATATTTGCTAGTTCGTTACAAGATAAATTTTTTTAAGTGACTCAATACTAATTTAGAAAATTTTTAAGCCGCTTTAAATTAGTTTATCTGCTCTGCGTTTTATGATTAGAAAGTTTAAAATGATGGACGCCCGAATTTCTTCAAGCTTGGTATATACACAGGGGGCTAATCAAATCGAAATTGTAATGATACAATGATCGCTTTATATAATAATACAGATTTTTTCTTCTAAGAAGAAATAGTTTAACGTATACAATGATATTTTTCCAAATATACGGTTAAAAAACTTCTTTTACCTCATTCATTATTGGTTTCACTTCATCCATTTCTTCGACATGATCTCCCAAAGAGTCACCATTTTGAATTTGAGGAAGGGTGCTATCAAAATGTATACTAACGTTTCTTAAACTCTCCATGCTATGTTTTTATATGACTTTTAAATAAATAAATGTAGAGAAAAGTAAAATAATGTTTTAAACAGCACCAAAAATAGATCCGGCTAGAACATTTTGTTTGATTTCGCTTGTTACGATGAAACTTTTATCAGCTGCTTTTCTCGCAAGAGCAAAATTCTTTACCAAACCTCCTGACGTAAGGTTTAGATTTTGACAATTGCGGGGGGTTGCAAAGTATGACTTAATAAATATTTATGTACTAGTTTTAGTGGCGGACATATTTTTGACTCGAGTGTTTGTTTATTTTTGACTATCTATATCTTTTTAAACGGATTTATAAAATGTTTAGTTTTAAAGATTTGTACATTTTTTTCAATTGGATCATAAATCTATTAATTGCACGGTATTATATCTCTTGTTAACGGTATTGGCATAAGCGCTACAATTAAACTGTTCAGAAACAGAAAAATATCACTTCCACAGAAAGTTTCTGTTAGAAACTTTACTTATTTATAGTATTTAATACTAAAGTACTATAACTTTTGATCTTGGGGATAAATTTCTGCGATCTTTTAGAAGTGCCCTACAATAATATATTTACTTCCAAAATATTTTTCTAAAAAAAAAAAAAAAAAAAAACAAACAAAAAAAAAAAAAATTCCTGTCAGCAGTAAATACAAAAAGGGTGAAGGGTGGAGGTTAACAAAAAAATGCTAATTGTCATGTAATTTTATAAAATAACTATACAGCTTTTCTGCAATTATGTTATATAAATTGATTTTTTTTTTTTTCATGAATAAATTTGAATTTTATATTGTTTTTTAAACTGTATTTTACATAAAAATTTGAGATAAAACTCCTCGTAATGAGTACATAATAAGTAAAAAAAGCCAGTTTTGAAAAAACAAAGAAAAATCAAAAAATTATTTATTTGAGTCCTGCTGATTATTTTACAAGAAAAATAAGAAGTGTTCTAGTAAATAGTTTTCAATCTTGCATAGATGAGATAATGACCATGTTTTATTTTTCATTATTTTTCTTTTACCTACTATGAAAATGAACTTACAACACTGATATGGTTCTCCATATGGGTGTTGTCAGTTCCCATATATAAAATATTTTCCTCATTTTTATCACTAGAAACCATAAGTGATTAAACATATTTAACTTATAATATATACGTCATATATACTCATTATTTATGGCAATATTGCGAAATTATCGGTATAAAATATGAAATATACAAAAAATAGAAAAAATGTTTCTAACATAAACAACTACAAATTATGCATAACTTTTTAGAATAAAAAACATATTATAAATATTTGTTTTTAATTGTGTTTGCTTCGTCTCTTTTTTCTTTGAGACAATCATGTATAACAACTGTTGTTAGCAACGTAGCATCTGTCACCGCCACGTTTTGAGTTTGACAATCATTTTGACAACTGTCTTAAAAGTGTGTTGACAATTAATTGAATAAAAACTATTTTGAAATAAAATAAAACTGTACTATATTTGCAATAGAGTTCAAAATATGGTTTTAAACTCTTGTAAAAATTTCAAAATCCATAACTATTATGATAAAATTGTTTAAAAAAATAAATTTATATTATTATTATATATACAGAACTTGATTTTCAATATTTAATAATATTTAAATATTTTTACAATATTTTTAAGTATTTTTTTTTCTTAAAAAAACGATTGTTATTTTTTTCTTAAAAAAACGATTGTTATTTTGCTTTCCTTTTAAACAACTTTAATCATTTTTGTCCTTAGCACTTCTTAGCCAGATTTCATCAAACAACTATGGCCCCACCAATCTACCGTGAAAGTTTGATACAGTTTATGAAATTCATTAAATTGACGAAACTTCTGTATCTGGTAATATAACCAATTTTTATTTTCTTTTTATTCAGTGATAGAAAAACAAAAATTACAATACTTATAAATCTATTTATAGTTGATGAAGGGGTACTACACCAGGCCCCTCTATGCTGACGAAAATAAAAACAAAGACGCTACAGGCAAAGCAGAAATAGTTTCTCTTGTCATACTGTTTTTGAAAACATTGATTGATGGAGCGTTCACTGCTGCTTGGGAAAACGCATTCCATGGGACAACAACTTTATTTGAAAAAATTTATGTCGTTCTTCACAATTCCCTTCTAGCTGGCGTTCTAGCTTAATATTATGCCCTCTCAAAATATACTTGGCTTTGCAGTTTGAAAGAAAAAGTTCGAGTTGAAGAGTAGTTTTTAATTGCTCAATAAGGTCGGTTCATTTAAGGCATTTTTGCAAGTATTGTAAGACCATGCTGTTGAAGTCAATTTTAGCCATTGAGTACTTGACGCAGAAATATTCAATGGCTAACGTCAACGAGTGCCGTCGATGTTAGCTATTGAGTATTCGTGCGTTGAGTATTTTACATTTCTCCACGATGCAAAAATACTCAATTTGTGCATTGAGTATTTTTACATTTCTTAACGTTGAAATGCATGAGCTAATTATGTGACCATTCTACTTCTCTGTCAATATCAGCGTGGAGAATGATGCTGTCCGACTCATGTTTAATTATGTCAATAATTTTACTGTCGTCGATATACAGTTGATCATTGCAAGCATTGTGCCTCAAACCTGATAGAAACTCGAAACATCACGACGGAAGCAGTTTATTGCAAATACGCAATAGACGCTTTATAAACAGACTTTGCAAAAGTGTTTGACAAAGTACCGCATAAACGCCTTCTTCATAAAATAAAAGCTTATGGTGTTCAAGGCGCACTTGTAGACATAATTTCAGCTTGGTTACGCAACCAAAGTCAACGAGTGGTCATCAACAGCATCACATATGAATGGCAATTTCCTCTTACTTCATTAGATCGTTTCATATCTGCCAGTGCAACAAGTACAGCCTTCTCACGAGAGTAGTGTTTAAATTCTTTATACCTACTGCTCTTTTAAAAGCGATGGTGGCTATTTCTTCAATTCAATTTATTTAAATTAAAATTAAATTTTTTTAGATATTTTATATATAATGAGCCATTTATTTTGAAATTGGAAAAAGTCACTTTATTTTTAAGCCGAGATTTTGAACATGTTTAAAAATATTGTTGCCAACTTTCGAGAAGATTTACTTGTGTTTGTTGTCTCAGGATACTTAAATTTTTATTAGTATAAATAATTTCGTGTAGTCATTGTTATCAATAACTTGTTTTTTTTTTGAAAAGATGACTTAGGCTTATGACTTTTAAAATAAACGGTTTCAATAATACTTCAACATATTTAAATACATCAAAAAATTTAGATATAACAATAAATTTAAATATAACAATAAATTTAAATATAACAATAAATTTAAATATAACAATAAATTTAAATATAACAATAAATTTAAATATAACAATAAATTTAAATATAACAATAAATTCATCCGTATATAATATTGTAATTTTTTAAAATTTAATTACTTTAACATTTGCTATACTCTAATATACGCAAGTTTTTTTATGCATTTTTTATGCATTTAGATTTCATCTTACATAAAACCCAATGTGGATAAAATCCTAATAATAAACTTAATACAGATTTTTTTTAAATCTTAGTTTAAGTCAAACAAATAGCCAGTTACCACAAGTTTGTTTTTCATGTATTTTAAATTATCAAAAGAAAGAACAATTTCCATTTTATGAAGCAAGTTTTGAAAAAAAAAATAATTAATGAATCATTTTCACTTGTTTTCATAGTAAATTTGCCATAAGTTTTAAAGAATCTTATAGCAAAATTGAATTTTAATTACAATTGATTTTAAAATTTGCTAAATTGACTAAACAAAATGAATATATATATATATATATATATATATATATATATATATATATATATATATATATATATATATATATATATATATATATATATATATATATATATATATATATATATATATATATATATATATATATATATATATATGGCGCTGTTGCCCTAATTAGAAATGGCTTCCATAACATTACCCTATAAAATTTTGTCCTTTTTACAAATCGCGACGTTAGAATTATCTTGTTCTATCTCCACATTTTTTAGTTTTGAAATAAAACGATTTAAAAAACAAAAACTTTAGGAGACGGCGTATAAATTTTTTTTATAACTTATTTTTTTTCCTCAACTTTTTTACTTATAACTTAGATTTCAATTCAGTAGAAAGACATTATTTTGAGGAACACAACACTATTATTAACTCAATTTTTTCAGAAAGTGTAGATAGAACAAGATAATTCTAACGTCGCGAAATGGCGGGGTAAATTTGTAAACAAAAAAAGCGGCTTTACTTTTTGTCCAATAAAATCCCGCAAGTTAGACATCTAGCATATATTTACATATCATTGGTTTAAATATATTTTACTGCACAAGTTAGTTTTTAATTCAAAATAATGCAAATGACTGTTTAAAAATCAATAATTCATCTGGTTCTTAAACATTATATTAGTAATTAGGTAAATGGTATGCTAATTACTCCATTGCAGTTAACAAGAATTTTGGAAGATAGATTTTATGGAAAGGAGTTTGAAAACATTTTGATTTAATTTTTATTGTAATCAATCTTTTTTCCCTTTGTTTTAACGAGAAAAAAGTTTTTATTCAGTTAATAATAAAATTCGAACATAAAAATGGTCTTATTATTAGTTTAGACACATATTTTTTAAAATATTAACATTTAAACCCCAATGGCTGAATATCCATTTTGGCTTCAAGCAAAAGAAAATTCTACAACCTAATTTAAACATTTTTCAATACTGTTGATAGTTTGAGATTTGTGTGAACATTCAAGTCTTTAAAACTGTTGAAGGTTTAAGATTTATATAAACTTAGTGTCTAGAGTCAAAGGAGAATGTATTGAAGAATTAGCTTTTAGTTCAAAGAATATAGAATATCAAATAAAGTTTTTATATTTTTTAAATAAAGACATTGCACAACTTTTTTTTAAAGTTATGTGGAAGCTTTTATTGTGAAAAAGACTGATGATTATTCGTGTTACAACTTATACTCTCAATAATGATATTGGATCTAAATAACTATTTTCAAGCAAGTAGAACATTTATCAATCATTAATCTTATACAAACTATTAAATTCTTGCAGACGCTTCCACATGATTATTTTACCATCGGAATCTGATAAAGAACGAAAAACATTCTTAATTAGATGTGGTAGATCAAAGTTATAAGCACTTTAGCTCTTGTATGTATAATTTGTTATGTTATTAATTAATACCTTCAAACTTTAAAAGCACAGATTAGAAAATCAAAGTTGTCTGTTAAACTTTTAAAAGTTTTCAAGAAACATTAAAGAAATCAATTTGCCAAAAAAAGCTTTAATAAGCGTTTTGAAATCTTGCTGACTGCATTTATTTTTCGAATCTAATAATTTAAATCCAATGTTTTTTTGATTTTATTTTTATCTTGCTTAATTTTAAACTGTTTGTTAGTTTGTATTTGTATACTTACGGTGGGTGTTTAATAAAATTATAATAATATAAACATAGTTCAGCCATGAGTCAAAAATACGGATATCACCATGGTTTTATTTTATCTTTTTTAGAATATGGTAACACAGGGCATCCCATTACCCAATAAGCGTCCAATCGCACACAAATATATAGATTTTAGGCAGTCGGGTGACTTGGGTATTCATCCAGCCAAGTTAAGCTAAAAACCGAAATGATGCAGTTGGTTGACGGAGTTTAAGTTAGCGGTTACTTTTCAACGAAGCCACCAGCACTCGCGTTTAATCATATTTAAAACAACGTTCGATAAAATTGCAAAAAAGCATACATTTTTTATTTTAATTTGATAGCGCCCCATAATGAACGCTAAGTTATTTTCCCAATTTAAACTCGTGGTACGATATTAAGGTAAATTAAAAAACTAATCGCGATAACCAGTAAAAACTTTTATTTTAAACAAAAACACCTACCTCGCCTCGACACTAAAAGCGCTAACACCTATTTAGCCCAAAACACAATACAAACCGGTCAACACCTATTTAGCCCAAAACACAGTACAAACCGGTCAACATTATGAACCGGTCAACATTATGAACGTTGAAGCAGTCTTATAATCAAAATCATATTTTGTAATTGATCAGATGAATTATAAACAGAACTAATAGTATATTATCGCAAAAAGATCTTTTCATGTTAAACGTAGTTTTAACCATTCATTAGTTATAAAATTTGTAAGCTTGATCTTTCAATGTTTACGCTTTTTTTTTTCACCGATGTTATCTTGATTAAATAGCAGGTAACAACGACAAACGGCTTTACATAATTACATGTTTATTTTTGTATAGACTCATGTCAAGTGTTCATGCTCGCATCTTCACCGTCGTCTTCATCTTCAACACCACGAATATATAAAACATTATTACACCTAGAATAAAGAATAGATATAAAAATATGCTTAATAAAAGGTTAAACTTAATACAAACAAAAAGCCAAAGATAACTTGGATCAACTTAATAAATACTATTGCAACAAATATTTTCTGTTACTATAGCTTTTTATGTTTCTTCTTAAACTTTTTAATAATCAAGTTAAAATAATAAGTTATATCTGATAAATATAAAAATGCAGAAATTAATGCAAGAAAAATACAAAAATAGGTTGCCATGGATAGGAGCAATAGACTAAACTAGAACTGCAATATTCAGCTTTTCTAGTTTTGTCTATTTAATTAAGTTAAAAATTCATTGCTTGAATTTTTAGTGTTATTGTTAAAAATTATGTTAATCAAGAATAAGAACACCATCTTTTGTTTAATCTAACCCTTTAAAACTGTAGCAGTATCTGATGGTAATTGCCTGTTAATAACCACCTGTTCAATATTGAACCATGGTTTTGATTAACAAAATGAAAAGTTTATTAAAACAGAGCCGGAATAGCTCAGTTGATTAAAGCGCTGTTAATAAAGTTCGGAATAATTATTGGCCGTAGAAGCAGGATTGCAGGTTCAAATCCTGCTCAGCGTATGAGTAGTACATCGATACGAAGGGAACTCGTCTCGATGTTTCCTTCTCGACTAGTAAATAATCTAGTCGAATAAATGAGAAAAAAATGTATTTTTTATTTTAGAAGTATTTTTATTAAGAAATTATTTATCATAATTTGCATACCTAATCAATATTTCTCCAAGGTTACCAGTAAATGTTCCATCAATAAACTCTTCAGAATTAGCTAACTAAAAAAAAAAAAATCATTAAAATAAATAAAAATTAGAACTTTACAAAAATCCTGCACAGGCTTTTTGTAACCATCAATCCTTTTAAAAACAGTCTAGATTTACTCTAGGCTAACAATCTAGATCAATTACCAAAACAAAAAAGTTCTATAGGATGCTAAAAGATTTTAGAAAATCTATAGACATTTAGACTAGGACCAAACACATCAAAATTAGATAAGTAATGCTAATTTTAGAAACATATCTATGAATGAAACATATTATGAATTAAAAATCTTACTATTAATTTAAAATAACTAAGTATAACAATAATAATAAAGATAATGAAGTAATTAATATAATAATAATTATAGTGTTGATTTGCATTATTAAACTGTTGAATAAAATTGGTTATTGTTCTTATTGTATTAGACAATTATTCAATAGTACAGTATAGTTATAACACTGCACATTGATATACATTATAAATAACACTGTACTCAGTAAAGTGTAATTGTACTATTGTGTAATACTCAGAGAGTATTACACAATAGTATAATTTCATCATTCACTTTAGTATTGTGGGGATTTGCGCATGCGCATAAAAGATATTGCGATTTATGTGTTTTTTCCACGTTTTTGTAACTTTTACGACTTCTTTATTTTTTCGATTTTTAAAAGCAATTTCATCAAGTACAAGTAAACTTGATTTGAATTATATCTTGCATGGTTCAGTAAAATCTGTCTAACCATTATTTTTTATTTATATACGTTTTTCAGGGATCGGTAGGGGAGTTTATGACCAAATAGCTGTTGGGGTTAGTTCGCAAAATTTTGGCGGGGCAAGTTGGCCGTATATATCAAACAAATGTGTGCAATGAAAAATCTTTGTTTTTTATTGTTACTATTGTGTAATACTCAGTGAATACAAACAAATGTGTGCAGTGAAAAGTGAAATAAAAAAATCCATATTAATGAATTTATCTGTGATCACCCATGTTAATGAATTTATCTGTGATCACCCATGTTAATGAATTTATCTGTGATCATATTTTAAAAATCTGCAAATATTTTGTAAAAATATCAAGAAAAAATTTGGAATATATTTTTGCTGATTTACTTTCTGTATTACTAAGGGATTCCTTAAGGGATTAAGTATTAGCTCCCTAAAGGAAATCTAATCCCTAAAATGAATCAAAATTGGATCAACGGATTAAATAGTATTGGTTTGAACAAATTAAGGTGTTAAAATTTTTTTAAAACTCAACCTGCTTTGGTAGGAATGGCGAGTTATAGCCAGTGATTACCTCACACCCGTGGAGTCAGTTTACTCAAGCAAAATAAAGCTTGTGCAAAATATAAATTTTGGATTAAAAAATGTTAAATATGTTTTTATTCTTTTATTTATTCTTTTAAAACTTTTTGCATGATGTAATTTCAATATTCACGTCAAACTTCAAGTTTAAAAGTGTTTCTTTTTTAAATGAAAAAATTTAATTTAGCATGTACAAAAAAAAAAAAAAAAAAAAAAAAAAAAAAAAAAAAAATATATATATATATATATATATATATATATATATATATATATATATATATATATATATATATATATACACACTAGTGGACAAAATTGTGGACACAAATAGCATTTTTTATTCAAGAAGCAGATGGCTTTGGCTGGGGGTATAAATTAATAATTTACTTAGAAATCAGTATATTAGGGTGAAAATTGATTGAATATGGTTGTATACATTAGTAGCAGATTATTTTTTTGATTATTTTTACAACATTTGATATTTCTTGCCAAATTCCATTGCATTCTACCATTAAGTATCTACAGTAAGTATAAAGCTACAAATTTCATTTAGTTAAGTATTTAGATAAAATAAAAAAAAAAAAATAAAAGTGCAATGTTAATTCAGCTTATTTTTGCTCACATTTACTGGAATTTTTATTTGTTACACTGTAATTTCTCATTTCAATTTTATGAAAAGATCTTTATAATACCTTTTTAATATGAAATCTTTAACATATAAGCAATTAAGACAGCAATACTCACATTTGTAATATATTTCAACAATGAAAAATGTTAAAAAGACAGATTGGTCACCTAAAAAAAGAGCAACTGCAATCACACTGCAAAAAGAGGGCTATAGTTATAGAGCAATTGCAGACAAAATTGGAAGTGTGACTGCCTCTGGGGTACAAAAATTGTATGAGCGTTTCAGAGACTGGCAGCATCGAGATCAAACATGGAAAGGGAAGAAAAAAAGCAAAAACACCTACAACTGACAGAATGATATCAAGACAAGCACTACAAAATAGAAGAATAACAGGAAAGGAAATTAACAGCTCTCTTAAAGTTGCACAAATATCTGTTAGTGACAGAACTGTTCGTCGGCAATTGGTGGATGCAGGTTTGAAAGCTTGAATTCCAAGGAAAAAACCACTGCTTAACGCCATTCAGAGAAAAAAGAGAGTGGAATGGGCTAAATTTCATGCTACATGGACAGTTGATCAGTGGAAGAAAGTCATCTGGAGTGATGACACATGAAGTTTGGCAATGAAGGCACTTGAAAGTGATACTTACAATGTGATAATATGAATATTTTTAATATGGTGCTATTAGCTGATCTATCCATAAAGTTTTGTACTATTTAATGAATTTCATAGAAAATAGCAATTCTTCGGTGCAGTTTTTGCTAACATTTTACTTGAATTTTATTTTTTAAACTTTTTGAGTGCAATAAATAGTATTTTTTTGCTTAATCATTTATTTTGTAATAAATCCATGTGCGTGACCACAATTTTGTCCACGAGTGTATTTGCTTGATTCTTATGCAACATTATGATGCAAAAAACTAAAAATATCAGAATCCAAAAGTTTTTTCAAACAGCAATAACTATTTCTATAATAATTTAATTGTTAAAAAGCAGGTGAAATGTTTTGCAAGCAGAGTTTAAAGCAGGTTTTGCAAAAAAATTTAACATGTTATTCCAAATTTTCAGTAATCAGCACAACTGTAAAGTTCACTTAAGAATAAAGAAAAAAATCGAAAATATATACATATAGGGGAAGTTGAGGCACAGTGGATCGGATTTCTTTATTTTTTAAATTAAGCAGAAGTAAAATATGTATTTTATTTTTTTCAAGGCAAAATGATTAAGATTAATGTCCTTCATGATAAGAAACCACCAAAACCAAAATATTTATTATCTAACGGCTCACAGAAATGTTTAAAATGAGTTATGTTACGTGATTCACTGTGCCCCAGTACTGGGATACAGTGAATAAATGAACACAGCTGTGAATTAATGATAATGAATAGGGGCATAGCCAAATAACTTTGAGGCTGAGGGAGTAAAGACACTGTACACTATACTTTTGGCATACTTTTATTAATTAGATTAGTATAAAATCGAAATAAAAGAAATTAAAAATTGAGAATAAAATTTTTTTTTATTAATAATAATACTTATAAAAATATTAAAAAAATTAAAAACTTATTCAAATATTTGTAACTTGAAACTAATAAATTAATTTTCATGTAGTTTGTTAAAAATGCACGAATTTAATCTTTAAGATCATTAATGGGCTATAGTGAATCAACCTATTCACTGTGCCACACCATAACAAATTAATTTAAAGCCTTATTTCTTGGGACACGAGTGTTGTTGAAGGAAAAGCTAAACTACTAAAAGGAAGCAAAAATATCAATAATCCAAATAAGAAACTTCAACATTAAAATTATTTCAACCATGATCTCCATAGTAAACATAAGGAAGGTAAGAAAATTTACTTTAGTTAGCTAAAACAAAAACCGCCTACCAAAAACCGATAGTCAAAAATTATGAGGTAACAACTATGAAATAAGATTGCTGATATATGAGCACTTAAAATGATTATATTATCAAGATGAACAAAAATACAAATCAACAATAACGGTCAAACTGGCAAAATTTAAAATAGGATTGCATCGTAACTTTAGAATTAATTAATAGGTACAACAAAACAAACTAAAAGCTGAAAAGGAAGATCTGAAAGAAAATGACACCTTTGGTAATTACATAGAATTCTTTGCTATTCTAAAAAGAACAAGTAAAATTAAAAACAAATTTTTAAAACCCAGTGCTTTTATATGTTTTAAAAACACAAATTTTGCAATAAGTTTTTTCTGATAATACTAATTTATTTTATTAACATTCGGCTGAATGCGTGTGTAAAAAATAAAAATACCCACGAAGAGGCAAGACTCGAACACCTGACCTTCAGTTTACGAAGTGGGCGACTTTACCAAACAAGCTAAACGCACATTTAAGTATTTAAACAATTAGTATACTTATTTATAAATTTTATATTCTTCTTTCCATATAAAAAATAAATTTAATTAAAATTAACTAAATTAGTTAACTTATTGCATAACTAATTATTGAATATTGTATTGTCATCAAGCAAGAGTATGCATGCAAAATTTGAAGAATCTATCATCAGGAAGTGACTCAAAAATTGATGGCAAGATTTGGTTAGAATTGGAACACAGCGACCGTGCAAATAGCATCGACCGTGACGTCACACTTAAATAGCCAGCTGCTGAGCGTTTAACTTCATACATTGACTATCGACATATATAGCCTGCTGTCGCAAAGGAATACCCATACATTAAAGGACTGTTTGACGTGGGGCAGCAATCATTTCTTTCATTATTCTTTTTTTTTTTTTTCGATATTCTTTCTTTTTTTTAAAAAAGCTGCATGCAAGAAAATCAAAACTAGAAAGCATTTACTTTTAAGATTTTGCAATAGCTTTTAAGCATTTAAGTTGAAAAATATTATTGCAACATTTGTACAAATAATTATTGTTAATACAGTGTTTATTTACAATGATTATTTGTATAAACATTATTCCTTGTATAAACCCTGTTTTATAGGGTATTTTATTAGAAAATTCCCAAAATCTTGCAAAAAGACGCCGTTTTTAGCTGTTCCTAATTCAGGCTGGCAAAGTAGTTAACTCTAATTTAAAACACCTCTCTTTTTGAGGTTCTTGGTTAAATAAAGGCTAGAAACGGTATCTTAATAAAATCACTCATCCTGTGCACATGTTAACTGCCTCTGGCTACTGACTTGTAGAAGATTTCCAAAACTGAGACTTTTCTGTTATATTTTCTATTCTAGCATATGGCTTGCATAGATGTAATCCTGTGTTACAGTCTTCTGCCTAGAATGATGAACACCAGATCTTCTTGACTTTACTCATGGATTTTTGCTTGTGCCTCTATAGCAAGTGGTTCTGAGACAGATAGTAAGGATTTTGCAGATCATCTAAAAATATGAATTTTTTTACTAAATATTTTGCAAGCTTATAACTAATAATTGTCTGGCGACTGACTGGTATTTCTGTTATAAATAAGTTGTCTTTTCAAGAGGATTTATTGTACATTGTACTATTTTCATACTGGAGAAGCATAACACTACACCACTGAAATGCATACAATGAATAAGATGATGAGAAGTTAAAATAGCATTTTCATCAAAGAGGGAGAGATGCAATGTTAAAGATCTCTCTTAAGGAAATCATGTCGCGTCATCAAAATGATGTACTAACTTTTCTTTTTTTAAGTTCCTTCAAATGAAGTAATTTTTTTATAGTACTTAGGAATCCCTTTTGAAAAGCTCCCATTATGAAGTAAAGGATTTAAGAAAATCTTTTATTCTAAATATCTAACAAATTAAAAAATGCACATAATTAAATCATTAGTAACAATGAATACTATCAATTTTCAATATTTTATAGCCAAAATAAGGCTTTAAAAGATATTCTCGTCAATTATTTGTATACTTTTTATTTTACCTACAGTTCCTAAAATCCAACAACAGCTTGCTTAATATAAAAAAAATCCAAAAAGATAAAAAAGCATACCTGCATATTCATGTAGCCATCAACTGATACAAGATAACCTTTATATTCCATTCCCCACTTTAGCTTTATCATAACTGGTTTACCGGTCAACCCATTCAAAAATGGCTTTGGATTTAATGGAAGTTGCTAAAATAAAATGTTAGAAAAATAAACTAGGCATTGTAAAAAACTTTTTTATAATTTGTAACAACATTATAAAGAAGTACAAATTATCACTCTATAAAGAGTAAAAACTGTATCAAAAAAACTTAAAGAATTAATAGAGAAAAAAAGAATTAAGAGAATTTTATAGGGGCAAATAACATATTGTGGGATGCATCAAAATCACCCAAAGAATTATTTACTTTACATTATTTATGCGGTAGTAGTGTAGCGGTAGAGCACTTGCATCATAAGCAAGAGGTTCAGAGTTGGATCACCACTACATCCCTGGTAATACCACACTCAATTTGTTTCTTCATGCAGTGGCCTAGTTTGTCAAGGTCGCAAAATTAGCATCTGCTAAGGTTGCATCTCTTTATCGAGCTTGACACTTTCTTACTCTGGATTCTATTCTCTATAAATCTCAAATCCAGCTTTGTATGGAATACTGTTGCCATATCAGGGGCAGATCTTTTTATGATGCCCTTTCTCTTTTAGACAAGGTGCAAAAATGCATTGTAAACATAATTGGACCTGCTCTTGCAGCCAACTTCCAACCATTATCACATTGTCGTAATGTTGATTCTCTTTCTCTTTTCTACAAATACTATAATGGGCACTGTTCTAAAGAGCTAGGTCTCTTGTGCCATCTACTAAAATTCATTCTTGTGTTACTCGTCATTCAATTAATTCCCTGCTTGGGAATAGACAAAAACTTAGCTTGGAATTACTATTATAACGATATTTCTAATATGTAGATATATATTTCTAATAAATAGATCCCTTGCCATACAACAAAAAACTTTAAAATCTATTTACTATGCTTTATTTCACTCGTCTCACATTTGACTTTTATCATGGAGTCAAAACATAAGTATTGTGAAAGGCCTATTTATTATGCAAAAAAAAAAAAAAAAAAAAAAAAAAACAGTTAGGATTATTGAATTTCTATCCAAAAACTCACATACATTCAAATCTTTTGATACATTATAAATTTTAAAAGTAAATAATATAACTATTATTATTAATTTATTCACAGCTACATAATAAAAAAGATACCTCCTATATTGACTTGTAGAAGTGCACAGAGTGTGCAAACATATAATAATAAATCCTACAGTGAACACTCCTTTAAATAATCTGCATTAATAGACTGGAATCAACTTCAAAATAAACTAAAAACAATCCCTTTTTGCCAGGGATGCGAAGTCCTAAAAAGAACTACTGATTTAAAAGTCACAAAAAGATTACTTCTTCCTAGTTTTTGGTATCGAGAAGCTGTAAAAATATATAAAGGTTTATGGACTCATAATAACAAAAAAAAAAACCAATACATTTAGGTAAGAGTGACAATCATTTTTTTAACCTAGAGTTCTTAGGCATAATGGCAGTTAGGCTCCGGGACTTTAGGCTTAAAAACAAAGTTCCAAGTCATTAAATCTCATGAACTTTTTTCTTATAGCAGATCATAAGTCAACAAACATATTTAGAGTTTCTGGACACTACAGACTTGAAAAATAGAGATATAAAGGACTCCATCCTTTTGGACTTAATTAAATTTTTTTGATACTTAATTAAATCAATACTTGTTATATCAAGATAGAAACAACAATTATATCATTGGTGATAAAAGATTAATCACCATAGAGATATATGATATAAATATAAATGTTGATTAATAACAACCTTCTGTGTTAATTAGATTTTGTTGTTGCTGTTTTGCTTATGGATACTATCCTTATTTGGCTATATGAGAGTGAACCAACCAAAATAAAGACTGTATGTAACAAGTGTTTGACTGAGTCTTGTTTTCCTGCTTGTTGGAAAATGGCATCTGTGGTTCCAATATTCAAAAACTCTGGAGAAAATTCTGACCCCTCCAATTATCGTCCGATCAGTCTTCTTTCTGTTATTAGCAAGGTCTTTGAGTCTTTGATCTACAAATTCCTCACATCTCATCTTGAGTCAAATAAACTACTGTCAGACAATCAATACGGTTTTCGATCCTCTCGCTCTACGGCCGACTTGCTAACTGCTGTAACTGAAAGATTTTATCGTGCATTAGATGGAGGCGGTGAGGCTAGGGCTATTGCTCTCGACATATCTAAAGCTTTCGACAAAGTTTGGCATGCTGGTCTTCTCCATAAGCTTGCTTCATATGGTCTTTCTGGGAAAGTTTTTGAGATTATCAAATCATTTCTTTCTAACCGGTTTATTAAAGTCATCCTTGAAGGCTAACACTCTTCTTTATTTCCATTAACTTCTGGGGTTCCCCAAGGTTCCATCCTGGGCCCTGTTTTGTTTCTTATCTACATAAACGATCTTCCTGACAACCTTTCATCTAAAGTAGCTCTTTTTGCTGACGACTCAACTTTATACTCCTGTCTTGACAAAAAGTCCTCTCTTTTTGATCGCCTAGAACAAGCAGCTGATCTTGAATCCGATCTTAATTCAGTAATAGATTGGGGTTCACAGTGGCTTGTGAATTTCAACTCTAAAAAAACCCAGTTGCTTACTGCAAACAAATACCGTAATATGGTCAACATTCCTATATTAATGAATGGCAATCCTCTTACTGAGTCGTCCTCTTAACGTCTTCTTGGATTATCGCTTACTACTGACCTTTCATGGAAACCATATATACAATCGATTGCTAAATTAGCTTCTGCTAAGGTTGCTTCTCTTTATCGTGCTCGCCATATCCTTACTTCTGATTCCATTCTCTACCTCTACAAATCTCTTATTCGTCCCTGTATGGAATACTGTTGTCATATTTGGGCTGGTTTTTCTAACGATTCACTTTCTCTTCTTGACAAGGTCCAAAAACGCATTGTAAATGTTGTTGGACCTGGACTATCTGCTAAGCTTGAACCTCTTTCCCATCGTCGTAAAGTTGCATCTCTTTCTCTTTTCTACAGATACTATCATGGTCACTGCTCAAAGGAGTTATCATCTCTAGCTCCATCAACTAAAATTCATTCTCGTTTTACTCGTCATTCAGCTAAGTCTCATTCGTTTACTGTATCTGTCCCTGCATGCTCTAAAAACTTTTATTCATCTAGTTTTTTTCCCCGCACTTCAATCCTTTGGAACTTTCTCCCATCTTCATGTTTTCCAGACTCATACAACCTTCAACTTTTCAAGTCTTCTGTCAACCGTTTCCTTGCTCTATAACTCTGTTCTTTATTTTTCCTAGTAACTCCCAACTTAATAGTGGTTGCTTGCAGCCTTGTTGGGAGTGAATGCAAATAAAAAAAAAAAAAAAGTGTATTTTTTGCAGTTGATAACATGCTGATGTAAAACATTTATATTTCTGGTAATTCTATTGTTTTTTGTTGTTGTTGTGTTGTTTACAAACCTGCACATTTATAGAATGTGGGTTAAAAAGTGTCAGACATAACAAAACAAATCTAGTTGGTTTGATGCAGCGACTTTTTTTGAATTGGTTCGATTAAAATTTGTTTGTAAACATTCTTGAAAATAATAGTTGTAATTTTATATATTGCATATAAAAATAACTTAATTGTTAATGTTAAACATATGCAGTTTTTATTACTCAACATTTGTGGGTGGTTAAAATTTATAGTAATCTTTTTGAGGTATCCATGGGTCCATTAGATGATTTAATATGGAATGACCCATCTTTTCTGCAAAAATCTGCAACCTCAAACCCATATGCACTTATATGAGTTTGAGCTTGAGTTGCCAAAAATATTTGTATAACAGTTTTTTTAATAATAAAGCTCCCAATAACAATGATTTAGTTTATTTTACTTTAAATTACTTTAACTAATTTAAATTTGAGTTTTAAATATTCAGGTGTTGATAATAAGTAAAAACTCACAGTCTTAAGGTTTAAAGTTTAAATTCTTGCTATGCCTATGGAAGTACAGTGCTTAATTTATTTCTCTACACAACAACCTTTTCAACATTTTTTAAAGATTTTATTTTTAAGTTTAAAGTTAGAAAGTTACAAATAAAATTAAAAAAGTTATGTAGCATCTAGAGCCATGGAAGATTAACTAAAAAAAATTAACAAAAGTTGTCTTGCTATCTATACATTAACTTTATGAGGAAAAATTACTTTTTGCTCAAGATAAAAGTAGAAGCAGTGCCTGAACATTTTAAACATTCAAAAATGTGCAATCAGTGTCATAGGATATCATACATAGCAGTACATCAACTTTATACAATGATACAGTTTAACTAAACTATAAGCAAACATGAAACTGAGTGCAATGAGTATAACTATTAAAAAAATACTATTAAAGTATAACTTTATAAAAAATATATTTTTTAATTTCTTTGCAATCTTATCAATTACAAATTGCTTCAAATATCAATAAAATGCAAAAGCTGATACAAAAATAGTCTATACAAAAATATCAGGACAGGCATAGCCGGTTTTAAACAGATTTTTTACTGCTTTTGAGGGCATTTAGTCTCAACAAGGCTTGCTTGTACTATATGAATTTTGGGAAAACAGGAAATCAATAAAGACATTCTTGAACTAAGAAATTCATGCAGTGATAGATTGAACATTTTATTTTGCGGGAAAAAGACAATCAATTTGTAACTAATAAATAATTGAAATCAGCAACAATGAAATTGATTGGAAACCATGGCTAATCTACTTATGAAGAACATGAAAAGAGAAACATTTTCATAATGTGAACTTGTTGAATTGAATGCATGCGTTGAAGTCTTAAAGATTGGGTTAAAACGACTTCTAAATAAAGCCATTAGAACTGATATTCATAGTGTATTCAGATGGCTAAAATCTGGGCTAACAATAAACCTGCAAAACATCCTGAGTGACACAAAATGCCAATACAATAATAGAAAATTTTTGTTTAACTTAAGATGGATGCCAACAGTCTTTTTCCAACTAGCTTTAGAGATTATCAATACTTTCGTTTTAGTTTTGGAGGTTAACTATATTTTTTTTTTAATTTACAGTTTTTATTGAAGTTAACTTTTTAAAACGTACGAGCAAATCAGAGTTAAAAGGATACCAAAGCACGGATACTATATATACATATATATTTGAAATAAAAAGTATATCTGATATTTGAAACAGAAATAGAACATCTCTACTCACCGCCATTATATACTTTGTGTTACTTCAGATGCACGATAAGATCCCTACGGCAAGTGTTCAAGCTGACTCTAGAGTCAGGTTAAAGATTCTATTGATAAATTTAAATTTGTTTTAAATTAAATTCAAAGAAAATACTTAAAATATTATAAGTAAATAGTTAATATTTATTTTTTAATATAACTATAAAGACTTAGATTTAAATATTACTTTTATAACTTAAATACAAGTTTACAAGGCGGTCTGTAATATAAATTATATACTTATTTAACGAGTCTTCAAAATGTAATAAAAACGTGCACATTAACTTTGCGCGATCGACCTCTATCCATATTTTAAGTTTACCTAATGTTTCAAAAAACTGAACGATTTAAAATTAACAAATAAAATTATATAATAATAATTCATTGTAAAATAATAATATTATTAATGATAAAAAAAATAATGTTTTATTAACTGTAGTTATACTAAATGCACATAAAATAGTATAAGTATATAGTTTACAATAAAAAACCTACATTAAATGTAGGTTTTTTTTTATAGTTTTTATAGTTTACAATAAAAAACCTACATTAAATGTAGAGTTTTTTTTGTAAACTATATACTTATACTACTTTGTGTACATTTAGTATAACAATTTAGTATAAGAAGACATATTGTAGTTATATACAAATGTAACATTTGTATATAACTACAATATGTCTTTTTATGAAACCTAACTATTGTTATTTTCTAAAACATTAATACAATTATTAGCTATGGTTTTTGTTGCTGCAATTAACTTTTCTATGAATTATATAGTGGTAAAAAATGTTTTCCAAACTTATAACTAAAAATTTTGAAAAATTTTGAAAGTTTTTGTGCTTTTAATGTCATGATATATTTTCTTTTTATCTCTTTTTTAAAGGTGTTTGGGTTCAAAAAATTTAATATATTACAACTTTCAGCTCATATATATATATATATATATATATATATATATATATATATATATATATATATATATATATATATATATATATATATATATATATATATATATATATATATATATATATATATATTTATATATATATATATATATATATATATATATATATATTTATATATATATATATATATATATATATATATATATATATATATATATATATATATATATATATATATATATATATATATATATATATATATATATATATGTAAGCACATTTTCAGTAAACATATATTAAAATAATGGCATTAAATATTTGGTTTAAAATTTAAATTTTGTTTTTTTTTTTAATTTGGCATTTAAGTATTTGATCATTTATTTTTTGAAACACTAATGAAGTTTCTCATTAGCTAGAAAATTAATTTAGAAGGTAAAATAATTTAAAATAATTATAAAATAAGTTTAATACTAACTTGTAAGAACTTTATTCATAATACTTTATATTATATAATATATCTTTATATACTTTTTTAGAAATATTTTTTACAAATAATATAAACTGACAAAAGCATTTGCAATCTGCAGATGTCGTATTGTAAAGAAGATGGTATGTTTAGTTATTTATGTTCTCTGTTTATACAAATTATTTTTGTTTTCTATTTTTACAAGTACTTATTTATATTACACAATAATATGGTTATAAACTATACAGGTAATATTTAATGCATAAAATATTTTTCTCACAATAAAGTGAAAAAATGTCTTTTTTATAATTGGCAACGCAAATGGAAATCACAGATTTTTTATGAGTTTGTTTAGTTTGATATTTTTTGTTTTTAGTTTCATTTTATCCAAATGTGACTTTTTTCTTTTATTATTTCAATTAATATTCCTAATGTTTAAAAAGCCTCCACTGACGAGATTGCAACAAGCAAAAAAATAAAATTATTTTACGCCATTATTTTGCATTATTATTATACCATTATATTGATACCATTACATTACCATTATATTGATACCATTACATTATCATTATAATGATTAAATTTAAATAAACTATTAATAAAAATTGCTAATGTTTAAGATGAGTGTAAAAGCGTTACAACATTATAGCAGCATTATTAATTGAATCAAAATAAAAAAATGTTTGTAAATTACAACTATGTTTGCAGATAAAATTTTAATAAAGCATTATACTTTTTTAAAAATAAATACTTTTTTTTAAATAAATTTTTTGTTTTTGAATATTTCAATTATTCTTTATATACTGTATTTGCCTCTTCAAGGTTATGTAGTACTGAATTATTTAACACCAAAAAATTAAATAAAAATTGTTTTTAATGTTTAAAAATATTTATTAACACTTTATAAAATATAAATACTGACTGAATAGGTATAACATGCAAGGAGTGCATCTATATTAACTAAGGATTTGTGTTGGGCAAGCAATCATATTTTTCAATAATCTTTGTTTTCCTTCTGAAATCTTTTTGTCTGAAGCATTTTAAGAATTAAATTACACAAAGTATATTAGGAAATTGTGTTCTTAGATAAATATTATCTTTTGTATATATACACCTATATGTGTTAGTTGATTATATATTAACATTGAATTTAATGCTGCTGTTACTCATTTGTGTGTTTTTGACATGATTACAGCCATCAAAACCGAGTTAATAACAAGAAAGTATCCCTGCACTTTTTTTATAAGAAAATGTGCAAATATCTAACTTATGTAAACTTTAAATTATGTAATGTTAAAATCATATCAAGTTTTACAGTTTTATTTTTACTTAAAAGTTAAGAGGACCATTTTTTTCTTTTTTTTAATGTTTTTTATGGCAAATATTGTTTTTGCGAAAAAAACCCGCTGATTTTTTGTTAAAGTGTGCTGGAATGAAGGGGTATCGCCGCCTAAATTTTTTTCCTAGATTAGGCCTTGTAAGGAGATGTTGTATTGGGGTGATATCTTCTTAATTTTGATTTAAAGCATTTATTTGCTGTTTTTTAAAGTAAAAATATCTTATGTTTAGTAAATAGTATTAAAAAACATTGATACAGTAGGGGAGAGTCGGGTAGCCCCAGTCACTTAAGGAAAATATAGATTGTGCACATGTGCTAACAGAAAAAAAAGGGTCAAAAGACTTTTTTTAAAAGTTCAAAAATTCATCTATCGAATTAGAAACAAAAAAATAGTTGCGTATCTTAATAATATACAAAACATTAAAGAAAAAATGTTAGAAAAAAGACATGTTTCAAAATTGGAGGGTAGCCCCGGACATATAGTTTAACCATGATTTTACCTCTTTTTTACCAGTGTGACACAAATGTTATATATAATAATTTAGCATTGGACTGTTTTCGACTTATTTTTAAAAAAAATCGCCTTAAAAAATTGCCTGATATATAAGGAATGAGAATGAAAATGTCACCATTTAAAAATATCAACATAAGCTTTTTTATAATGAAAATAAACACTTTAAAAAAACTTTTTTCAAATCTAATTCTTTTTTATTGGAATTAAATGAATTACTGTTATAGGTTTGTGTATTATATTAAATGTATTAATATTTAGATAAAAAAAAGTTGTTTATTATTAATATGTAAACAAATTAAGTTGCCTGGAGCCACCCTCCAAACATGTGTCCGATACCACCCAATCATAACTCATTCACAAATACTAGTTTTAAAACCAGTGAATTTAACTTTTTAACAATTTTTTTTAATAACCATTGTAAATAAAAATGTATCTTTAATCATTAAAAAGTTATTAGTTTACATAAAAAATAGGTATATTAATATGTGAATCAAATATGATGATACTTCGCTCTTGTGGTGGTGGGAAACAAAATCTTGCTCTCCCAGTCATTCGCTTTGGCATTTTATGATAAATATTTTGCATATGCCATACTTTCACTCAATGTTATTCTAGTTTTAAAAGTTATATAGCTTCTTTAGTTTAAGCTGTACATCAAGTGTCCGGAGTTACCCGCTGTCCAGGGCTACCTGACTTTCCCCTATGCCTTAGCTTGCTGTACTTCTTAACTGCATCATGGGGGCTCAAATTCTTTTGCTAGCACTTTTTATTTTTTTTAATAATTTCTAGTTTTCTAAAACACAAAATAAAACATTTTTATAGGTATTATATACATAGTTTTATAGTTTTATAGGTATTATATACATAACATATATAAAGAAATTATATACTCTAACGTGAAACTGAAAGAAATTTTAAAAAAACTTCAAATTTCTAAAAACATCAAAACACTGGAAGAAATTTGTTGTGCATCTCAATATAGATTCTGATGTTACTAATGTTAAAAATTATTTACCAAGACTCATATTATACAGGTCATGATAAGTCCTTTATTCCACATATTTTTAAGTCTTTTAAATATTATTTAGACGGGTACTAATATCCAAATTGCAGATAAATAGCGGTTTATACAGCGGCTACCAAAGTATTTAGATTTTTTTAAAGTTAGTTGTAAAAAAATTTTTTTTTTATAATTCTAAAAAGTAGAAAATATCTATAATATATACATATATATATATATATATATATATATATATATATATATATATATATATATATATATATATATATATATATATATATATATATATATATACACACACACATATATTATATTTGCATATAGGAAATATGCAAATATATATTATATATTTGCATATAGGAAATATGCAAATATAATATATGTATATTATATATATATATATATATATATATATATATATATATATATATATATATATATATATATATATATAATATATATATATATATATATATATATATATATATATATACACACACATACACATACACATATATTATATTTGCATATTTCCTACTGCTAACTAAAAAATATTGAAGTAAGGAATAAGTATAGAAATGGTTGGTATGGAACAGACTTACCAAGACCCGTATTTTACAGGTCCGGATAGCTAGTAGTCATTAGTTTTGTTACTCAGAAATAAAGTTTTAATTTGTGTTTTTTATGTCATCATAAAATAATCTTATATCAATAAAAAAAATTTTGTTTTTCCGAAAATTGAGTCTTAATGTCTTTTTTTTTTGTGGTTGCAAAAAATGCAATTTACGTAATGGTTAATATTAGTTGGCTCTTTTAAAGTGCTTAACTTCGTATTTGAAACTAAAATACAGAACAAATTTTGAAGAAAATTTATACCTAAATAAGTGTACATATATTAATTGAAAATAGGCTTAATTAGTTTATATATTAAATGCCAATACAAACTATACCCAGTGGACACAAGACGTCTAAAACATGTATTAAAACGTATTAATACGTTTTTTAGACATCTAAAACATCTTTTATACTTACTGAGTAACATCAAGCTTACGTCATAATATAATGAATCAAGGCTCCAAATAGTTCTCAATTTAAATTTTGGTTGAAACTTATAATAGTAAAAATAAATTTCTTGTTTTATAGGTATTTTAATGTTTTATAGGTTTTTTGATCTAATTAGTAATGCATTTTCATAATCTAGCAGTTATTATTTAACACTCTTTTTCATTTAATTTTTTTCATATTTAGGAAAAGATAAAATAATCTTTATCACTGAGGAAGACTATAAAAAAAGCAGTGAAAATCCGCTTTTACCTAGTGGTGAAGAAGCCCATGGATTAATTAAAGAAAATGGTGAGATTAATTGGGATTGTCCTTGTTTGCAAGGAATGGCTGATGGTCCATGCGGGGAAGAGTTTAAAGGGGCGTTTTCTTGTTTCCATTATAGTAATACTGAGCCAAAAGGCATGGACTGTTTTGACAATTTTAAAACAATGCAAGAATGTTTTTTAAAACACCCAGACGTTTATGGCACTCTTGATGATAATAATGAAAATACTGACACTAGTATTAATGAAGAAATAAATAATAATAAAGGTATTAATGAAGAAATAAATAATAATAAAGGCGAAAGTTCTAGCACATGAAAATATATAAATTTTGTTATTTTTTTTAATCTAGTAACTTTTTAATTAAATTGAATTTTTTGTTTTAACAAAACACTTTTTCATTTTTTTTATTATATCTTTTAATGTAACATCTATGAAAGTACTCTAACTTCTTTGTGTACTTATTGTCTGACATTGGTTGCAAACTACGTTTATTAGGGAAGTTGCTCTTGTTATACAGCTGTTGTTCGAATTAAGAAAATGTTTCATACTAAAGCCTAATTATTGTACAACTTTGTGTAAGGAAGCTTGTATTTTTGTTTTGATTTTTATTAATAAAAAATATTAAAACCTTTAGATGCAAAAGTGTGTGCTAACGCAGATTTTTAAAACTATTGTGCAGTTTATACTTAAAGTTGTTTAGGAGAAGAGTGTCAGTTTGCGTTTAAACAGATTTATGCTTAAACAAGTTTCTTAAACTGAAAACATTTTGAAAAGGAGAGAAGGTAAGACATCTAAGACATGCGAAATTATCAGAATAGTTTTCCTAAGTAAATTTCTCAAAATAACCGCAATAGTGGTGATGATTTTATCCAGTTGAGGTTCAATAATTATTAAAATTAAATTTTGGTTAAATTTTGAGATATACGGCCAGATGAATATTTCTGACAAAAGCAATTTTGTATCGATTAGGTATTGATCCGATGGCTAGTGTTTGAAATTAACTTATAAATTTATAAGTTATAAAAATATGAATTTAGGTGCGAATCCGGCTTTTTTTGAAGTTTGAACTAACTCCTAAAGCAAATTCCAAACATTTATGTTAATACTTTAGTCAAATAAGAATGTTTTGCAAAACGTTGTGATGAGTGGAGCCTAAGAAAAAACAGCCTTGAAATTCCTCTGCCCCTAACGTGCAACAAGCTAATAAAATATTATATTTTTTAATTATTTTCAACTAAATTTAAATTCCTCGCCAAATTTTAAATTTCATAAAAAATGCTCTAGCCTTGACCATATAAAGTCTAAACCCTCTCAACTTGAAGAGTTTAGCAAGTCCGTAAAAAGCAAGTCTTAAGGCGAGTTTCCACTCATCCGTTTTTCAACGGGAACGGGATAGGAAAGAAAAAAATAATCACGTGAGCATGCGTAATAAGAGTTTTTATTTGTCCGAAAGAAAACTGCGCATGATCACGTGATTATTTTTCCGTTCCCTTTCCCGGATGAGTGGAAACTCACCTTTACGCGAAATGAGTAATATTGAAAACGAAGTCTAAAACCTGTTTTTAGCAGACTCAAAAAAGGGTTGCCTGAAATACACGTCCTCCTAACTCAGTGTATAAGAGGTGGCATCGAGGGACACTGTACCCCTCCATCCCCAATACAATACATCCTTTTATGTTAGCAAACTAGGATCTTTAGCCAAAAAATTAACTTTTCTATTGGTTGGCTGACGAGTTCTGGGCAACGACGCGTCCGTCGCGACGGTATGATTTTATTTTTTATTTCTTAAAGTTATTTGTTTTTCATGTTTTTAACATTTAGTTATAACAAGTCCTTGTTAATTGCTAAAAATTATAAAAACAAACATTACTAAGGAATTTTTTTATAATTAGTGCGTACATACTTTTTTATATTGAAACCCTACCCCCCCCCCCCCCTTTCACGTTTCCGTACGCTATTTGAATGAAAGGGGCTATATCGCCCTATGAGCGTACATACTTTATAGACGGCCCCCAAGGTGTTTAAGTTCATCATTTAAAACTCCAAAAGCAAGTTCAAAAACTAATCAGTGTAGTAAAATATCACAGAGGTGAATCCAATAACTATTTCAAGAATTTTTTTGAGAAAACAATACAACTAGCACAGAAAATGAATATTGAACTGATAATTTAAAAACAGTGCCGAAAAAAAGCATCAAAGTAATCTGGAAACATAAGTGTTTAGGTGTTCTTCAGACAGACAATTTATATTCTATAATTATATTTTCTAATTGGCTTATTTGAGAGTCGATTTTGTGAACCCAACAGTGCACAAATTAACTTAGTATTTCTGCATCCTTCTAGAATGTGCAAACTGAACCTAAAATTGTATAGACAATTTTAAGTCTACAAACAATAACAAATAAAACATAGATAATTTTGAAACTGAAGTTCCCCAATTTATTACTTTACAATATCAGGCATGCCTTATTTAATTTTTTAACTTTACCAGCAACATATAGTGGAACAATTGTTTAGCACGTTAGATTGGTCAACAATGTCAAATAACCGTCTTAATAAATAAAGTTGTAGGCATATTTGGTATTGATAAAAGACAACTCCAGCTTGTGTTTCATAAATAAATTCGACGGGGAAAGCGCGACCACGTTAATTACTGAAAAAGATCATCTAAGTAAATTATGTTAAACAATGTTAAAATCTTTCTAAACTTACTAACTATTATCATTTTATGAAAGAATTAAACATATTAACAGCATTAAAAAAAAAAAAAAAAACTCTGTTGCATGGGCGCCCGCAGAATATTTTCTAAGAGTCGCAAAATATTCTTATAAAAAATCTTTTTTCCAAAAAAAGCATATACACTTATCAATTTTTTGTTTGTTTTTATTTTGTTTTCTATTTGTTCTTTAGGAGTTGCGTTAAAAGAAAAAAAAGAAAAAAAAAATGCATTTTTCGAATAATTATAAAGAAAAGTAATTTTGGGACAGTGGCTAACCTTGTGTCTAACAGGGATCGCTAACTATTTATGAGAAATTTTAAACGAAATTTTAAAATGACTGTAATGGTATAGGCCATAAAATAAGAAATAAAATAGAATTTAATAAAAAAAAAATTGCGATTAAATCTTTTAAAATTTTATTTTTGTTTTCTTTTTTATAAAAATTACTTGATCGAAAAATGCAAAATGCAAATTACTGAAAATAATAAGATTATAAATACAAGCTTTTTGTTGGATAAATAATATAAATACAAATTTCAAATTATGTGAATATATTTTTTTGATTGCTATATAAAATATCGTCAGCATTTAAAAAAAAAACCATTTGTCTTTAAATTTTATTTCAAAAATAAGTGTAATCAACAACTTCTCTAAATAAGTGTAATCAACAACTTAATGAAATGGAAAAAAAAGCGCCTTGCTCATATTAGAGTTCAGAAGATAAGGTCGATATCTAAAAAATGCCTAAAAATAGTAATAGAAAACTTTTTGATTTGGAGAAAGACGAACACAATATTGAAGATTTGAGCGAATTTTATCTCGATATGATTACAAATGCTATGCGAAAAAGAAATTTGGGATTTAAAATGGAATGATTATTTAGTCTTAGCAATTTTAATGGCTCTAACACTTGCAAAAATCCAACGAATCCAAATAAGTAGAATCATGAGTTTAGTTTAACTTACCCGACTGCACTGAAACACTGTTTTAAACAGAGGTAAAAAGGAAAGAATTACATTTACTCACGTTACTGTAATTGAGTAGTTATTTAGTGAATTTCTACTTTTTAAGTATTTTTAAAAATATGTACTTTTACTTAAGTATTTTTTCTAAAGTATTGTACTTCGCTACATTTGAAATCATATGCGTTACTGAGTAAAAAAAATTATTATGTTTAGTGTAATTTCACAAATACTATGATTTAAATATTTGTTTTTTTTTTTGAGTTTTGCTCACTTTAATAAAAATGACACTTAAATTGGTTAGAAAAAAATGTTGAGCGCGCTTATAACGACTTTCAACTGCTTTAGCTTGGTTTCTTTTCACTTTTTACGACCATAAAAAAATTTTCTGTGCAAAAAAAAAATTTATACAGAAAAGAATAGACTACGTGATTTTTGTTTTTTTACTCGACAGCTTTGTTACTGAAAAAGTAACGCAGTAACTTTTACTCTGAGTACATTTTTAATAAGCTACTTTTTACTTTTACTTGAGTAAACTTTTCGACCAATAACTTTTACTTGTACTTGAGTAAAATTTTACTCTAGTAACAGTACTTTTACTTAAGTACAATTTTTTTTTTTACTTTTTTCACCTCTGGTTTTTAATTGATTAATGGAGAAGAAGAGATTCTATTTTCTGACAATCGAGGTAAACACCATTGCCACTGAATGTTTGAAGATAATTTAAATTTAAAAGAACATATTTATGCCTTTATTATTGAAAAGGTTTCTCAAAAAAATATTCCATTTAGCATTGATATTATTCAAAAAATTGATGCATTTTTAAAAAGGTCAAAATTAAATGATTCTCTGAAATTGAACCAAAAAACAGCAAAATATCACAATATAGTAAAAACTATAAAGTAATTCAAAACTTATTATTTAGTTGGTTTTTTTTTTCGTCGAATAACAAAGCTCGTCCATTTGTTAATGGGTATGAAAGAGAAGACGTTGTAGCTTATAGAAAAACATTTGTAAATTATTTTGCCGACAACATAAAAAACTATTGAATGTTTTTGAAAACACCAACTTCTAAATACATTTGAAACGTTTCTGAAGTTCAAACTGCGCGAATAGTTATGGCTCATTATGAAAGTACGGTGCACTCGGGTGATACTCAGTCATTTAAATGGCTTCATGTTTTTTTTAGTCCAATGTTTAATAAAGGAAGAGGATCAGTAGAACCTTAAGTGATTTTATAGTGTGCCATCCAAAAATGACAACCTTTTCTTTAAATAAATGTGAAAGGAAAAAAAGCAGTAAGTGTGGAACCGCAACTAATGAATAAAACTGAGTTGAATTTTTTTCCTCGAACAGCAACAAGCATCATTACCCCCGGAAAACACTGCAATTTCGACAACGATGCAGTTTTTTTTTTTTTTTTTTTTTTTTTTGCCTTATTTATTTAGCCGTACAAATATTTACAAGTTGAAACATTTTAATTTTTCGTATAATTGGAATTATTTTTCTTTTAAAAGAAAACTAAAAGAAGTAATTTCTTCTATTGATAACATATTTTTATATTTTTAAATTATTACCTATTCCACAAAATAATTAAGGAATTGTAATCTGAACGACAGTATTTTTTAGATCACATATTATATATTATATATTGACATATATATACTGATGAAAACTGATATAATTTTTCGAGTTTTTGTTTGCTTTTTTTTGTTTGTTTGTTTGTTTTTGCATAATATTTATATAATTTAAATATTGAGAAATATCATATAAATTAAATATTGAGAAATATTATATGTATATATATATATATATATATATATATATATATATATATATATATATATATATATATATATATATATATATATATATATATATATATATATATATATATATATATATATATATTCAAATATTTTATAAAATATTGTTAAAACTTAATTAACATCT